AGGTAACTGAGGAACGACGATGTGTAAGACAATAAATCATACATACAGTGAAAAACGCTCTTTTTGTAGCACATCCTACATGTACATATCGGCAGCATTTTCCTTGCGATAGTAACTCCTAGTTTATTTAATATTTTCTCCAATCGCGAAGCGCCTTGTCAAATTTCATTAAAGACAATATGGGTTTAAACAAAATACTCGCCACTTATCCACTTGCAAGTTTTTGTCTTAAAGCGAGCAATATCAACAGTGATTTGAAAATTAAAAAAAATTATGAAAATTGCGTTCACTGTCATCTATCATGTTAGGATATTACTGCTCTGTAAAATTCAACACTTAGATCATCAAATATTAATATTTGTCGCAATAAAATTTTCTGCTGTTGTCTACTTCAATTTGTCACCATAATTTAGAGTTTAAATTTAGAAATTAAATTACATGTTTGTCCGGCACTTTTGTTCAGTAGATCGATGTTTTGCATGCAATATGAAGTCATGTATAACACAGATACTATGTACATATATATAATAAACACTTTGCAATAAACTCTTGAGAGAAAATTGTCTTACTTATTTTCGTCAAAGCATAGTTTGAGCATGCAAAGAAATTTCGCGTATGCATGACTATATGAACTATACACCAGTCTTTGAAAGAGGTTTAAACTGACAAATGCATTAATCAAGCATTTAGGTTTTTATCACAGAAACCTCGACACACTACAAATTATATATATAGAGATAGTTTTAAGACTTTTGAGGACTCTTCTTTTTAATTTCAGTGTTAATAACCAGGAAATAACTAACAAGATTTTCTCAACATTCGTAAAATTTCGGCCAGAAATACGTCCAAGCTGAAAGTAAAACCAGTATATAAACAGGAAGTTTCATTCGCAGGTAAAGTCGACCTGTTGTTTTTAACAAAATCAAAATTTTAAACCCAATTTTTGTCATTATTATTTCAGCATGGGGTAATCAGTATGAAATCTGCTATTTCTGTAATTATATCTGCAAATGAATTTTTTGAGTCACATTTTTGAACCTCTATATATAGGTAAAACCTGAGGGGAAAACCTGTTGAAATCACCTTTCAACTTCAAAATCTTTGAAAGATATTTATATTGCCATACAACTAACGGTCTTTTAAGTTTTTGCAGCATTTCAAGACTTTATCTAATTTCAGAAGTTTTCACACGCGTCAAAATCAAACTGTGCGCAAACAATTTGCCAGAATAAAAGCATCACGGAGAAAAGAATAACATCATTTGTATATAATACTACGAATATTATATTTGTTCGCTGTCTTAGTATGACAATGTATACATGATGTATGTGAAGTATATTATATTTCATTCTTCTGTCTGATGATGACTTTGAAATAAACTCGGAAAACGGTCTGTGGAACTCGCCTTCTTTTGATCTTTGTGATCTGGTTGTTATATTTTTCCGTGTTAAACATGTGTTTTAACTTTGAAATTTTACACAGTTCCTCTTTTTTGTTTGCTTAAACGTAGGAAGTTTGCCAGATATGGTAACGAGGAACCGCTCGATGGACACACACACATGCAATATCCAATTAAACTCTCGACTTTAAATTTTCTCTTTTTAATTAAGCAACTCATTTGTTCTGACGGTTTTGGAACAAACAAAGACATAAGAGACGTGATATTAAAGAAATTACGTCTACTCCACGTTTTTCTCATCTTCCTGTCGTTGTCATGTGAACTGTATCTCATGTTCCTTGAATAGAATGACACGTGTGTCTGTTATTGCACGTTTTCTTCACTGCTTTGTTTGATTCGAGTTTTTTTTAACTTTAGGACGATGTAGGGCACATGGACAATAGTTCCCCTGTTGGCAATCTAATAGTTAACTAGTTGGGTTGTGGGCACTTTTCATCGACTAAATCTTATAGAAACAATATATGATTCTATGGATGTAATTATAAAGCCCTCCTGTTTATCAATAAACTTAAATATAAACTTTCTTTATACGAAATATCTCATCAGTTCTAAACGATTTTTTCTCATGGAGGTCCATGCAGCTTAGGTCATCCCTGTTTGGTTCAGGAGGAAACCTAAACTTAGCTACCTTAATTTTTAATGGATAGCTCTATTCTAAAACTGTTCTCTCTCGAGGTCCAGTAAGCATCATCTTTCATAGATGCAGTTTCACTATACCTTAACTAACTTAATTTGTACTGGGAGATTGTTTGAATACATCAATCAAAAAGACATCTAAGTTAATGAAGCATGAATTATGCATGATATCGTGTTTTAGATTCCCGTGTTGCGTGTAGGCGTAAGGAATGTTAACGAAGACTTTGATGCCGTACAATGGTTCTGTTCAATTTGTCACTATATTTAGTCAGCTTTGTGTTATTATTACCACGTGTTGTTCATTGTCTATTCTCTGTCTGATGTTTTATGAAGCCCTGGTTCATTACGTTGTGATCGTAAAATAATCTTGTAAGGCTTTTTTTTTAAATTGGGGGAGGTCTAACATAGTGTCATTAGGAAGTATGTATTTAAGCTAAAATGTTGATGGACTGTGCGTCTAGGTATCCAAACCCACCCTGTTAACATTCCAAGTGGGAAGATTCCAGAGTACGTAGACATACGACTTTAAGCACAGAATAAAGACACACAGAAGGTCGACTCAGCCAAAAAAGCGTAACCGCTGCCACGCCATGATTCGTCATCAAAATGCTGACGCCATGGCCCTAGCCCACTGAGCTATACCCTAGTCAGTGCGCTTATGAGAGGCATTCCCTGGACGTCCGCCATTTTGAATATTATCAGGGGGGTGAATGCCTGTCATAAGCACACGGGCTAGGACCATGGCGTTAGTATTTTGATGACGAATTACGGTTACGGCCTTTATATAGGCAGAGTGTTGACTGACTCTTTTCATTTGAATGTCCCCCTAATGCCAATGGCGTCAAACCCAAGATCACAGAGATTAAAACGCTTTGACTGCGTCACTGTAGTGCACTATAATTATCGATAATGACGATTTTGACGTAAGCCACATTTTGATTTATCTTTATTGATCACTCTCCACACATTTTGCGGTGAAGGAAAACAACTGTCTTATACAACACACAAAATCATATCCACTGTAAAGAAATTAAGGGATTGACAAATTGACCGCCACTTCACTGACAGAATATGTTTAGATGTACATAGCTCAATATTTTAATCCTGACTATTTCCTTCATAAATTCATTTCGCCTATATTTTTATCTAACCTGTCAAACATAGTTAAAAATATTTCACTAATAAACCCTGTTCATTGGCCCGCTTGTGCAAACATCTTAATCTTATAATCTGTAACCCGTAACGACTACAAACTTTCAACTATTTAATTTTCCCAATCTCATTTCAGATGTGACAAACAAGTTCATTTGATGAAGAAATTGGATAACCTCAGGAAAAGTTAAGAACGAAAAAGTACCCAACAGAGTGATCAATATTATTCTGGTTTTCTGAAGGAAGGTATATAAAAACATGATTCAGTGAAAAGTAGTTTAGAAATGACTGAAAGCTGATGTAAATAATGTACTTAATGCAGTAAAGACATTTGAGTGATGTCAGTTGAGGATTACCCGACTTTATATTAGATAGCTCTCAGTTCTAAACTGTTCTTCCTATACTTAGCCATTTACTTATTCGTCCTATACTTAGCCATTTACTTATTCGTCCAATATAACTATAGAGGATTAGAGCTGCGCAAACTCCGGTTATTTTAGCACTCAATCATCAGTGGTGTCCAATAAGAAAAGATGGTTAGAATTACGAAACGGATCGGAGCAAGTAACTAAACTTTATAGTAACTTCAAATCATTCAGCTTAATTTTTCCATTACCAAAAGTTCATTGAAATATGAAATCATTTTTCATAATTTTGTCTGCTGGACTTCTTGCCGGAGTTTTCCAACTCCGGCTAAATGTAAGCAAGCTCTATGTAACTCTATAAAACAGCTCTATGTAACTACGGGAGGAGAGTTCCCGGAGAAAAACCTACACTGTCCTCATAATCACTTGTGATTCATGAGAAATGTATAGTCCCACCTCATGATATACCAAGAGTTGCATTGAAGTGTCATGATCTTTTTTAGGAAGTTCAGACACAAACCACGACAGTTTATTAACTTTATTGTAAAAGACTACCTACACAGAGATATCTAACTGTGTTATTCATCTTAAATATAGGTGCCAACAAAATGCAACGCAAGGCAGGATTTTCTCGACTTTCAGTCGTCAAAGAATCGGAAAACACGAAAAATCAACCTCGTGCAAAGCTTCAAAACAAAAAGAAGACTGTCTCGGCGCCATTAGTGAAATTTCAAAATCTTGTTTCAACCATAACTATGACTCGCGCACTACTCAATCGAAGTCAGCTGCGCAAACAAAATACGAGCGGGGACTCGGGCGAGTTTCATATGAGTCATGCTACGTCACCTGACGACGACGATCGACGACCAGATACGACACTGACCGATCCTAGCATGATCAGAAGTGATGTTTTAAGTCGGTTAAATATGAGTGATCACTTCCGGTTTTCAACAAGACCCAATAGGAAGTTTCAGGTGAGATATATAAAATCTCGTACCCAGGTCCTTCTCGTGAATCTCGCGGGTTTATGGAGAAGAGTCTGGGTTCAAGGTTGACTAGAATGAGTGCCCCCATACACCAGAGGTTCACGACCTTGAAATACCAGTATCTCTTCTTCAATTTGATCTAGGAAATGAAAGTATGCAAAGCCATCAAAGAAGTTTTAGAAGAACGATTACAAGGTTGTACATACAACGCTGAATTTTGTCAGGAGATTTCTCCAATCCTAGCTGATGTTATTAAGGAACGCGTCAAGAGACTGTTGTTCCCGCGCTATAAGATCATATGCCACGTGCTCATGGGTCAGGTGACCGGACAGGGCATGCGCAGTGCAAGTCGTTGTGCATGGAATGAAGAATTTGATAATTTTGCGCAGTATTGTTACCAGACTCCTACACTATATGCAATCGGGGTTGTCTATGGTGTATATGCTGAATAGAACCGGAGCGGCAAACTTGAAAATTCACCATTCCTTGGCCAAATGGTTTCTTGTGATGAACATTCGAGATTACAAATCGAAATAAACACGATGTTTGCCACAAAACTTAACAATTTTACTTTTCCTAACGACACAAGAGTCAACTGTCAAGACAACTTTACTTCGGGTACGACGGGTAACACCAGATATTTTACGCTTAACACCTTTGCAAAGTCCAAACAATTTTGCCCGTCATTGGGCGAGTGGTTCATTTGTATTTTTGAACATTATTTTGTACATGATTACAGTTAAGAGTGTATAATTAATTAAAAGTATTCATGGTCCTGGATGTTCTAAACCTGGACTTAACAAGCGACCGTCCGATATTCAGGTTATAGGATGTTCTCTGAGGCAGGGCCGCCCAGAGGTTGGCGGGGGCCCTGGGCAATTTTTTTTAGGGGCTTTTTCCGGATAACAACCCCCCCCCCCCCCCCCCCCAAAAAATTTTCGGTCTGTACCATTTTAGGGGTAAAAAAAATTTTCCGGAGTACAAAATTTTGCCGGACGAGTACGTTGCAAATGCTTTCGAGGGACTTTATCTCATTTTTTTATGCCAAAATTCGGTACTTAGCCCAAGAAAACAGATATCTTGTCCTTTGCGCGGAAATATTTAACACACAAAAAACGCTGGGGCCCTACAAAAATTTTTCAGGGGCCCCCAGCAACTCGGGGCAATTTGCCCCCTTTGCCCTCATGGCCCTGCTCTGAGGCGTGAATGATGAAATGTTACGAAAAGGTAGCAGTCTCTGGGTAACAGTATGAAGTCTGCGTTACATGCTCATACATCACTAGATATATTTTTAGCTAAACATTTCAAAAAGGTATTAGTCTTAAAAAGTTCAATACTATACCTACCAAACAATATTTATTATTACTAAACCATGCAACAAGTTACAGCTATTACATTAAAAATTTAGAATTAGTATGAAAAAGTTACATCTTGCGAAAAGTAACAAGATATCAGTTATATATAACGAAGTTAATTGCGGACATATGTAACAATTATATACAGTTAAATTTTGCAAAAACAAGTTGCAATATGTTACTACACTTGTACAGGTGATTAGTCTATACATATAACAAGTTAAGGTACTGTAACATGTACTAAATTGAGATTTTCAATCATAACGAATACTTGAATCAATAGAAGGAGTAGTAGATCTCGAACTAACAGCAACTATTCGCGGTTCGAGTGCAGCACGTCTCAATTCTTGCCTGTAGCCATTTCTTGCTGCTACAATATCACTATATGTATGAATCAAGACGTATATCTTAAAATCAATTGCCAATGGCAAAGCGTAGAGTTGTAAAGGATCTCTATTAGTATTGCCATGTTCAAATGTTTCTTCGATAAGCTCTAGGGACACCAATGCCAGTACATTCCAGAACATCACATTCAGGTCACACCAGCACCTTTTTAAAACATAAGTACTATTTTTAAGGCTTGATAAAGAGGGGCTTTAATGGAGAGAGGGAGGGTTTATAGAGAGGGAGATAAATAGAGAGGGGGTTAAATAGACAGGGAGGGTTAATTAATAGAGAGGGGCTTGATAGAGAGGAGGCTTAATAGAGAGGGATGTTAATAGACAGGGATGTTAATAGACAGGGGTGTCAATAGAGAGAGGGCTAAAAAGAGGTGGGAAGGAGATTAATGTAGAGCGTATTAATAGAGGGGTTAATAGAGAGGGAGGGTTCATTAATAGAGAGGGAGGTTAATAGAGGGGGTGTTTATAGAGAGGGGGTTAATTTAATAGAGAGGGGTTGATAAAGTGAGGGTTCATTAGAGAGGGGGCTTAATGATTTTGATATGAAAGTACTGAAACACTGCAAACTAATGTGACATTCCAGGCCAATTAATAAATATAATCAATACTACACACATGCTTTTCTGTTGTTAAGGTTTATTTGTAAATAAAATACCTTAATTTTCTATCTTCATGACTCATCCAGAACATGAATACAGTGAGACTCATACATGCAAGACCTTTGCAGCCCTCTCGAACAGGCTGATATGCATCCACCTCTTCTATATCATTAAATATGATCTTCATTGTCAGTAAAAAATGATAGCTCACTGCAGATATTGAATAAAACAATAAAATCCTTAAATGACCAACTCTTTCACCAGCCACATATGAAGCTATGTCTTCAAACATATTCATACTGCGATGTTGTGGGACTTCATTCACCAGATTATTTTGTTGGCCATCATGGTTGTTATCTTGTGTTTGGAGCATGCCAACCATGGGGATTTGACTATTGTCTTGGGATAGGGTCGTGTTTAAAGTTATACAGAATATTGTGACAAGAATGCCAATAATTGCAGCTGTAGCAAAATAGTGGATGTTGGTCATGTCTGTCCTGTAGTGGCAAAATAATGAGGTTAATGGATACCTTTGCATAATATACCCAGCAATAGTACCAACCAGTGATTGAAATTTTCAAATATTGTTTTTGAAAATCCCACTGTTCTCCATCCAGTTACCCACTCACTACATCTACACTGAATTTTTCAGGGGTGTACCATCATTGAAAGGGTCTACCAGGGGTTTTAAGGGAACACTTGGCATACTTTGCCATGAGAACAAGGAAACAAAGCAAAAAAATCTTGGGGAACATTAAGGGAACATGGTGGAAATCTTTTGGGGGGAACAAAGGAAAAAATTTCACAAAGGGAACTTGGGAACACAGACCCAATCTCACACCTAGAGTCAAGGAATAAGGTTCCAGGTAGTCCCTTAATGTCATTGCAAATGTATTGCACCTTAGATCTCTTGTGGAGGTGATGTGGGAGGAGACTCTGCATCTGCAGTTTCATACCTGACAAGAAATGATCCAACAGCCATTGAGACAAACAAAACAAACATAAAAAATCCACCCCACATTCCTTTGGCCGAGTCTGTTTCAACAATGTTCTAAAATTATGCCAGAAAGCACTTAATTAATTAATCAATTAGAATGTATTGTAATTGATAACTAATAGAAATAATTCAAATTAATCAAAAGGGTACAACATACATTGGCTCCCACATTTTGATTATCAAGGTTCTCATACTGTTGCTGTACTAACGACTCCTTATCTTCTTCGTAAAATTTATAGAACAATTGCACAGACTCAACATGGTATGCTAATGTTGACGCTCTATTTGCAGTGTATATGATCCTTTCAACAGATCCACTCAGTAGGTCTTTCATCTTGTCACTAGTCAAGTCAACAAGGATTCTAACCCCAGCGACATTCAAGACCCACATGTAACAGTTCATGAACGCCACAATAATTAAAAAGGACTTGCGGGTTATCATCCATCGCAGTCCTTCACGTCTGAGACGAGTGTTCTTTTCATATACATGGAGACAACAAACTACAGAAAATCACAAAGTTTAGCTTAACACTTGTCATTCTGGCAGCTATTACACAAACATGTTTGTGATCATGAAGCAAAGGCTAATTAAACAATGACATGAACATATGTTAAGTGCAAACTCTCTCATTGAGTGCCAGCTAGTGCTCTCCCCTTATGTGTAAATTAAATCATCTGGCATTAGACAGAGTAAAATGATAAAGTAGGGCACGTACATTAGGGCACAATGCATGGATGAGTTAAGTTTCCCACTGACGAGTAAAATTGTCTGGCGTTAGACAGAGTAAAATAATAAAGTAGGGGTGTATTACCACTTAAAGGGTTAATTATGACCAGTCAAAACCTGTGGGCAACTTGAACTGAAACAAATTGTCCGAATATCGTCTCATAAACATCTATTTACCATTCTATCAGAACCTACAAGCAACAATGAAAATGATAAATCTGACAACCATTACTCACTCTGAAAAGTTGTTTGAAAAAGCAGCAGTATATGGTAAGAAGCAATCGCCAACCAATAAGATATATCAGGGTTGCGTTCAGCCAGTTTAAAGTGAAACAATCCTATCAATCGCAAGACTGTTTCAATGCCAGTCAAAATCCAGGAAAGCTGTGCCACCTTGAAAGATGCTGTGCGTTTTCTAATGCGCAAATTTCCAACCAGATCATTTGTCCTTGCGCGAAATATCAGAATATAAAACACGACGCACGATGTTAACAACATAATGGAACTGGCTATAATTAATGGTACCACCAAATCATTAGTTTGGACATGTTGCGTAGTTCCATCGTTCTCGGTGAGTAGGTATGATATGGTGAGAATAAAATTTGAAAAAATAATTAATATAAACACTATTTCAAGAACACCATACCGCACAAATGGCACTGAATTAGATGGCATATTGATCAAATAAAAACCATCCTGTCTTTAATGTTGAAATTATATTTTCCAAAGTTAAGATCTTAAAACGCAATAAAAACGCCATCCAAGAACATTTCCAGCCTTCGCATTCGTCATCTACCATACATTTCTCAGAAAACGCGATTCTTCTAAGGCAGCTTTGGAAGGTCTTGGAATCAATCTATTTGGAATACAACACTTCCGGGTGCGATATTTTCGTGAGTTTATACTCAAAGCTGTTTGTTTTTAAAGGTCACTCATTTTTAGAGGTCACTATATTTAATTGGAGTGGCAAAGTCTCGTTTTTTTCGACTTCCGTCTTGATTCCATTTTACTGTACCCTGGCCCAGAGGTTTTTTTAGGTAATTTTACTGTAACTTGAAAAGGAATCAAAAATGAAACTTGAAATTTTTCTGCCAAATCGATACCATACCATGGTGGTATAAAATTCGAATTTTTTTTGTGCGCGCATTTATAAATATTTATTTTTTTTCGAGAAAAATTCTGAATTTCTGTGAATTACAGTAAATAAATGCAATAAATGCAAAAAAATGTTTTTAGATCTTTTATCATGCCAACACGATTTTGGCTATGGTAAAAAATAACCCGCAAATTTTATTCGCGATATGGCGGGAATACTAGCGGAATAATATTTATTCGCAATATGGCGGGAATACTAGCGGAAGTTGCGGGCATTTGCGGGTTGAACTTTAAACTATTACCATAGCCAAAATTGTGTTGGCATGATAAAAGATTTAAAAACATTTTTTTTCATTTAAAACATTTTTTATTGCGACTTTACAAGATTGTGCTGTATTGAGAGGTTATATAAGATGTCTGATTTTCGTGTGTTGTCAATTCAAAGCCATGTAGTTCATGGATATGTGGGCAATAAGTCTGCAACATTCCCTCTTCAGGTAAAAAATATTTTGATGATTTATCGTGATTTATAGTTTGTAGGTCTTTAGAAATAATGTAATTGCTATGTTATACAAGTTGTGTATAGGGTGAATATGATTGTATTTTAAGGGTAAATGCATGTGGTATTTAAATATGTTTGTGAAGCATCTGTATAGATAAGGTGTAGCATAAACACTGCTAAAAAGGCTGGCTCGATCAGTTGCCAGGATGAAAGTTCGAAATGGTAGTGTTGTGTGATATCATTATAAACTGTGAAAACAACCAAATTGCTATGACAAGCAAAAATTGCCTCATAAAAAAGGTCAAACTTCATTCTCTTGCTATAATCTCCAGATCAAAGCATATTGATTATCTTTTGTAATCATAAGGTTCATGGTTTTGAAGTCGATGCTATAAATTCAGTCCAGTTCTCAAATCATACAGGTAGATAATGTAAATATTAAAGTGATTTAAAAAATATTTCACAATTTAAGTATGGTTGCATGTATGATCGCCAACATGATCTATTCTTATATTGCTAGGGTATGGTCATTGGAAAGGACAAGTATTAAACTCTAATGAACTCACAGATCTTTATGAAGGCCTCAAACTAAACCAAATAAATAATTACACTCATTTACTAACTGGTAAGAAAATGTCCCTAGATTATTAGATTTGCATGGCGATAATTATTGTTTTAAGTTATTAGTATGTTTGCATGGCGATAAAACATATAATAGTTTTGTTTGTGGAAACACCACATAAATTTATTACTTACTTATGGGCTTACAGATCAAAAGCTTTGCAGCAATAAATTTATGTGGTGTTTCCACAAACAAAACTATTATAATTATTGTTTTGTTTTGTGAAAAATCGGATGTTTATTTAGATTTGCATGGTGATAATTATTGTTTTAAGTTATTTGTATGTTTGCATGGCGATAAAACATATAATAGTTTTGTTTGTGGAAACACCACGTAAATTTATTACTTACTTATGGGCTTACAGATCAAAAGCTTTGCAGCAATAAATTTATGTGGTGTTTCCACAAACAAAACTATTATAATTATTGTTTTGTTTTGTGAAAAATCGGATATTTATTTAGATTTGCATGGCGATAATTATTGTTTTAAGTTATTTGTATGTTTGCATGGCGATAAAACATATAATAGTTTTGTTTGTGGAAACACCACGTAAATTTATTACTTATGGGCTTACAGATCAAAAGCTTTGCAGCAATAAATTTATGTGGTGTTTCCACAAACAAAACTATTATAATTATTGTTTTGTTTTGACCAGATATTTTACGCTTTACAGCTTCGCACGATAATTTTACCTAACGCGTTTGCAAAGTCCAAACAATTTTGCCCGTCATTGGGCGAGTGGTTTAATTTGTATTTTTGAACATTATTTTGTACATGATTACGCATAGTTAAAAGTGTATAATTAATTAAAAGCATTCATGGTCCTGGACGTTCTAAACTTGAACTTAACGAGGGACCGTCCGATATTCAGGCTATAGGATGTTCTCTGAGGCATGAATGATGAAATGTTACGAAAAAGTAACAGTATAAACTCTGCGTTACATGCTTCTACATCACTAGATATATTTTTAGCTAAACATTTCAAAAAAGTATTGCCTATTGGTCTTAACACGTTAAATACTATACCTACCAAACAATATTTACTATTACTACCATGCAACAAGCTACAGCTATTATTTTAGAAATTTAGAATTAGTATGAAAAAGTTGCAGTTACATCTTGCGAAAAGTAACAAGATATCAGTATCTTTACTACAATTAAAAGTAACAATTACATTTGTATTACAAGTTAATTACTGACACGTGTAACAATATCCAGTTAAATTTTGCAAAAACAAGTTGCAATATGTTCTTCACGTGTGCAGGTAATTAATCTATACAAATGGGTACTGTGACATTATTAAATTGAGATTTTTAATCATAACGAATACTTGGATCAATAGAAGGAGTAGTAGATCTCGAAGTAAGAGCAGCTATACTAGCGGTTCATGTTCAGTACCTCTTAATTCTTGCCTGCAGCCATTTCTTGCTGCTACAATATCACTATATGTATGAATCAAGACATATATCTTAAAATCAATTGCCAAAGGTAAAGCGTAGAGTTGTAACGGTTCTCTATTAGAATTGCCATGTTCAAATGTTTCTTCGATAAGCTCTAAGGACACCAATGCCAGTACATTCCAGAACATCACATACAGGTAAAACCAGCACCTTTTTAAAACATAAGTACTATTTTTAGGGCTTGATAAAGAGGGGCCTTGATGGAGAGAGGGAGGGTTATAGAGAGCTGGTTAATAGAGAGGGTTATTAATAGAGAGGGGGGTTAATAGAGAGCGGGTTAATAGAGAGGGTTATTAATAGAGAGGGAGGGTTAATAGAGAGGGGGATAAATAGAGAGGGTGTTAATAGAAGGGGGTTAATTAATAGAGAAAGGGCCTAATAGGGAGGAGGTTTAATAGAGAGGGATGCTTAATAGAGAGAGCTAGGGTTTAGTAAAGTGAGGGTTTATTGGAGAGGGGGCTTAATGACAAGCTGGGCTTATTGATTTGATATGAAACACTGCAAACTAATGTGATGTTCCAGGCCAATTAATAAATGTAATACTGTACTATACACATGTTTCTCAGTTGTTTAAGGTGAAGCCTCTTAGAAAGGGGGGCCTATTTGTAAATAAACAGAGAACAACACATGGGTGCGCGGAAACACCAGACCTATTTCGAGTGTTGAACATGATATCTCACGAGTGAGCGCAGCGAGCGAGTGAGATATCATATTCAACACGAGAAATAAATCTGGCATTTCCAAGCACCCATGTATTTTTACAAAATTCAATAAAAAGCAATAAAACGTCCGTGGCAATGGGTTTTACAGCAAATGATACTTTCACACGTAAAAATATCGTATTTTTTTACGTGTTTAAATACGATTTTTCTTAGTGGCCAAAAACTCTATATAACACTTATGTTTATATAATAAAATACCTTAATTTTCTATCTTCATGACTCATCCAGAACATGAATACTGTGAGACTCATACATGCAAGACCTTTGCAACCCTCTCGAACAGGCATCAATGTATCCACCTCTTCTATACCATTAAATGTGATCTTCATTGTCATTAAAAAGTGATAACTCACTGCAGATATTGAATAAAACAATAGGATCTTTAAATGACCAACTTTTTCACCAGCCACATATGAAGCTATGTCTTCAAACATTTTCACACTGCGATGTTGGACTTCATTCACCAGATTATTTTGTTGGCTATCATGGTTATCTTGTGTTTGGAGCATGCCAACTATGAGGACTTGACTATTGCCTTGTTGGGTTGTTTTTAAAGTTATACAGACTATTGTTAGAAGAATGCCAATAATTGCAGCTGTAGCAGCAATGTGACTGTCGGTCATCTTTGTCCTGTAGTGGCAAAATAATGAGGTTAATGGATACCTTTGCATAATATACCCGGCAATAGTACCAACCAATAATATACCCAGCAATATTACCAACCAATGAATGAAATTTTCAAATATTGTTTTGAAAATCCCACTGTTCTCCATCCAGTTACCCACTCACTACAGTAGTGAATCTATACCCAGGTTTTTCAGTGGTGTATGTACCATCATTGAGAGGGTCTACCAGGGGTTTTGAGGGCATGAGAACAAGAAAACATTGAAACAAAGCCAAACATCACAGGGAAGATTAAGGGAACATGGTGAAATCTTTTGAGGGGAACAAAGGAAAAATTTCACAAAGAGAACTTGGGAACACAGACCCAATCTCACACCTAGAGCCAATGAATAAGGTTCCAGGTAGTCCCTCGTCATTGCAAATGTATTGAACCGTAGATCCCACAAAATGTTTTATGCCAACTTCATTTTTTGTGGAGGTGACATGGGAGGAGACTCTTAAGGGGAATGGGATGCATTTGCAGTTTCCTACCTGACAAGAAATGATCCACCAGCCATTGAGACAAACACAACAAACATAATAAACCCCACACACTTTCCTTTGGTTGAGTCTGTTTCAACAGTGGTCTAAAATTATGCCAGAAAGCACTTAATTAATCAATTGACGATTTGCGTAATAGAATAAATTTTGATCTAGACAAGGCTAGACAAAAATTTCATCACAGCTTGAAAGAGCATCGCAAAATTAGTAATATTCCAAAGTTTCGTTGCGAAATGTTGTAAAATGCGGAAAATATAGCCTTGCGAAGTTTGCAATTTTCAGTCATTTTAGATTACAAATGGGAAATTGACAGCCTCGAAGGGTTTGGGGCTGTCAATTTCCCATTCGTAATCTAAAATGACTGAAAATTGCAAACTTCGCAAAGCTATATTTTCCACATTTTACAACATTTCGCAACGAAACTTTGGAATATTACTAATTTTGTGATGCTCTTTCAAGCTGTGATGACATTTTTGTTGAGATCAAAATTTAGTCTATTACGCAAATGGTCAATTAGAATGAATTGTAATTGATAATTAATGGAATAATTCAAATTAATCAAAAGGGTACAACATACATTGCCTCCCACATTTTGATTATCAAGGTTCTCATACTCTTGCTGTGCTAACAACTCCTTATCTTCTTCGTAAAATTTATAGAACAATTGCACAGACTCAACATGGTATGCTAATGTTGACGCTCTATTTGCAGTGTATATGATCCTTTCAACAGATCCACTCAGTAGCTCTTCCATCTTGTCACTAGTCAAGTCAACAAGGATTCTAACCCCAGCGACATTCAAGACCCACATGTAACAGTTCATGAACGCCATGATAATTAAAAAGGATTTGCGTGTTATCATCCAACTCGGTCCTTCACATCTGGAACGAGTGTTCTTTTCATATTCACGGAGACACCAAACTACAGAAAATCGCAAAGCCAAAGGGAGTTTATAGGAGGGTCTTAATGGGGGTCTTTGGGTGTCAGTTGTCAGCTAAAATTTAAGCCAGTTGTCAGTACGATATTTTGCAAGCTGTCAGTAGTCAGTTACTGCAAAATGCTGACTCATCATTTTCTCATCATGCCTCAGTTGTCAGTTAGGATATTTTGTCAGTTGTCAGTCAAAAATTCAGGCAAATATCAGTAGTCAGTTAACCCCATTCAGACCCTCTTATAGCTCAACACTTGTCATTCTGACAGCTGTTACACAAAATCGTTTTTTGATCATGAAGCAAAGGCTTATTAACAATTACATGAATAGGTTATATCAGACTGAGCGGACTGGCAGAAGAGTTCCAGTGCCCAGATTTTTGTGCCTAGCACGAGTTGTCCCTTTTCCTGCTGAAACCAGAAGTTGTTTGAAGCTAAATCCTGGTTCACATATATGCCGGCGACGTGCCGGCGACGATGCCGATGGTAGCTTTAAAACGTAAATTGTGTCAGTGAACATTTGTTCGCTGATTGCCTCCAGTGCCACAGTTACATCGGCGGTAGGCCGGGAAAGTTGACTTGAGCTCAATTTTGCCGGTATTTTGGCAGCAAGTAGAGGCATCATGATACAGTCGCAGGCACATGCGAACCAGGCTTAACGAGTGCGTTATATCATTTCATGACAGTTGTAGAAGAATGAATTTGCTGGAAAATATTTCAATGTAAATGAGTGATGCGTGAGAAGGATTTAAAAACGAGAAACACTTTTAAGACCTAGTTGGTTTTATACCATTCACTAGAATGTAGTAATGAATGGATTTTAGAGATTTGGGAGCTACAACGGGTATTTTGCTTCACACATCGAAATATAATATTGCCGATTTATTAATACTTGCGACAATATGGCGCAGCACTATGAATTCACGCCTTGACTTGATCGTCTATCTTTTGCGATTTTTCCTCACATGTTGCGCTAAAGCCTTCAAAATACATTTTTTGAATGCGTAATGTTCTGAAGAATGAAATTCATTAACAAGTTTATTGCGTAGAAAGAAACTGAGTACTGATTCGACATTTTATTCGCCAGACACCCGATCTATTTTCATATCTGAATGTTGTAACAGCGAATCTGAAACTCTAAAGCTGACCGTTAAAACCTGTGGGCAACAGAAACAAATTGTCATTATTTTCTGATAATTATCTATATTTATCATTCTATCAGACCTACAACCATTACTCACTCTGAAAAGTTGTTTGACCAAGCAGCGCCATATGGTAGACAGCAATCGCCAACCAATAAGATATGTCAGGGTTGCGTTCAGCCAGTGCATGAGATCGAAAGTGAAACAATCCTACCAATCGCAAGATTGTTTCAATGCTTGTCAAAATCCAGGAAAGCTGTGCCACCTTGAAAGATGCCGTGCGTTTTCTAATGCGCAAATTTCGCCGAACTTTTCTCCTTGCGCGAAATATCAGAATATAAAGCACGACAAATGATGTTAACAACATAATGGAACTGGCTATAATTAATGGTACCACCAAATCATTAGTTTGGACTCCTTGCTGTTCATTTTCTGTACAATTCCCTACATGTTGCGTAGTTTCATCGTTCTCGGTGAGTAGGTATGATATCGTCAGAATAAAATTTGAAAAAATAATTAATATAAACGCTATTTGAAGCACACCATACCGCACAAATGGCACTGAATTAGATGGCATATTGTTCAAATAAAAACTATCCTGTCTTTAATGTTGAAATTATATTTTCCAAAGTTAATATCTTAAAACGCAATAAAAACGCCATCCAAGAACATTTTAAGCCTTCGCATTTGACATCTACTATACATTTCTCAGAAAACGCGATTCTTCTAAGGCAGCTTTGGAAGGTCTTGGAATCAATCTATTTGGAATACAACACTTCCGGGTACGATATTTTCGTGAGTTACAAAGTCTCGGTTTTTTCGACTTCCGTTTTGATTCCATTTTACTGTAACTTGAAAAGGAATCGAAAATGAAACTTGAAATTTTTCTGCCAAATTGATACCATAGTCGTATAAAATTCGAATTTTTTTTGTGTAATAGTAGAAATTATCTGAAGTTTTGCGCGCATTGAATATTTAGTTTTTTTCAAGAAAATTTCTGTGAATAAATGCAAAAAAATGTTATTAAATCCTTTATCATGCCAACACAATTTTGGCTATGGTAATAGTATATATGGTGGTTAAAGTTCAACAATGAGTTCGCGCGTTATGGCGGGAATACTAGCGGAAGTTGCGGGCATTTGCGGGTTGAACTTTAACCACCATATCTATTACCATAGCCAAAATCGTGTTGGCATGATAAAAGATTTAAAAACATTTTTTTTTCATTTAAAACATTTTTTATTGCGACTTTACAAGATTGTGCTGTATTGAGAGGTTATATAAGATGTCTGATTTTCGTGTGTTGTCAATTCAAAGCCATGTAGTTCATGGATATGTGGGCAATAAGTCTGCAACATTCCCTCTTCAGGTAAATATTTTGATGATTTATCGTGATTTATAGTTTGTAGGTCTTTAGAAATAATGTAATTGCTGTGTTATACAAGTTGTGTATAGGGTGAATATGATTGTATTTTAAGGGTAAATGCATGTGGTATTTAAATATGTTTGTGAAGCATCTGTATAGATAAGGTGTAGCATAAACACTGCTAAAAAGGCTGGCTCGATCAGTTGCCAGGATGAAAGTTCGAAATGGTAGTGTTGTGTGATATCATTATAAACTGTGAAAACAACCAAATTGCTATGACAAGCAAAAATTGCCTCATAAAAAAGGTCAAACTTCATTCTCTTGCTATAATCTCCAGATCAAAGCATATTGATTATCTTTTGTAATCATAAGGTTCATGGTTTTGAAGTCGATGCTATAAATTCAGTCCAGTTCTCAAATCATACAGGTAGATAATGTAAATATTAAAGTGATTTAAAAAATATTTCACAATTTAAGTATGGTTGCATGTATGATCGCCAACATGATCTATTCTTATATTGCTAGGGTATGGTCATTGGAAAGGACAAGTATTAAACTCTAATGAACTCACAGATCTTTATGAAGGCCTCAAACTAAACCAAATAAATAATTACACTCATTTACTAACTGGTAAGAAAATGTCCCTAGATTATTAGATTTGCATGGCGATAATTATTGTTTTAAGTTATTAGTATGTTTGCATGGCGATAAAACATATAATAGTTTTGTTTGTGGAAACACCACGTAAATTTATTACTTACTTATGGGCTTACGGATCAAAAGCTTTGCAGCAATAAATTTACGTGGTGTTTCCACAAACAAAACTATTATAATTGTTTTGTTTTGTGAAAAATCGGATGTTTATTATCGGGCAACATTTTGATATTAAAACTATTTTTCAGGGTACGTTGGTTCAGAGTCATTTCTTGAAGAAGTTGTCAATGTTTTGTCAGATTTAAAAAAAGTCAATCCTAATTTAGTATTTGGTATGGAATATATATGCAGTATTTCATTCAGTGTTTATGCATGTCATATGGATTCTTTCTCTAACTTTATTCAATCTTTGCAGTTTGTGATCCAGTCATGGGAGATAATGGAAAGTTTGTAAGTTTTGCCAGCAACAATTGCCAGTTTTGCCAGCAACAACAACAGCTCAATTTATATTTAGCAACAGATTATTTGTCAAGAAGAGCTACTGTATAACACTGGCAAGTTAATCTGTCCAGATGAAATACACAAATAGTTCTTCGATGTTAATTTGCCTATCCCTGGTTGCAGAGATTTCTGGTGTCAGGCAAGTTCGAAGGCATGATGGGTGGAGGCACAGATGATAGATTATACCAGATGTATCACTCTATACCTATGATTTTCGTGAGGCTATCACACCAGATGACATGTGCGACACTTACTGCCAAAATGGCGCTTAATGCCAAAATGTGTGATTGCTCATGTTTCATGGCGTGGATTACACTTACTGCTAAAATGGCGGCCAACACGTGCTCATAAAAAATCGCGTACACAATTTTGGCTGAGGGAGACATCTGGTATTATCTATCATCTGTGGTGGAGGTGACAAGGCAAGAATATGCAGTTCCCAAGCCTGGCCACTCCGTGCCTGAGTGCAGGCTACAGTTTCAGTGAAAATTATAGGAAATTATCTAAATTTGTGCTGACAAACAATCTGTCTCTGGTACAAATCAGGAAAATTTCACAGATGTGGTTCTTGTCCAGCATTTTTAATCAAAATGTATACTATTATTTTAGTATGTGCCAGAATCGTTGTTACCTGTATATCGTGATAAACTACTGCCATTGGCCTATATTATAACACCAAACCAGTTTGAGGCTGAGTAAGTAGTTTTCATTCAACCATTGTGTGAATTGAACCTATTTTTTATTGGATTATATTTTGTCCTTAATCTAGCTGCTAATACATATTTTATTTAGATTGCTGAGTGGAATGAAAATAAATTCTGAGCAAAATGCATTTGAGGTACACTAAAGGAAATGAATCTAAAAATCCAGTTGGTGTGGCCCTGTGCTGCCCCAAGGCTAGTTCTCCCACCATTGGTATGTACAGCCTTGTATTTATTCAGTTTTTTCACTTATTCCGCAGGCAATGGATATACTCCACAACAAAGGCACAAAGTGTGTTGTTATAACAAGTTCTGAATTGGGAAAAGATAATACATTGGTTGCATTGGGTAGTTTTTGTAATTTTGGATTATCAGGTAATTAGTTTGCCTCCAAGGATTTAAGACTACAGGCCCCGACACACACCGGACGCGATTCGACAATGTGGCATGATTTTTTATTTTCACTGACTTTGAAAAATTGTACCACATTGTCGAATCGCGCCCGGTGTGTCTCAGCCTTAATTCTTGAGCACAATAGACATTTTAACAAAAACTACTACTTTGGGATAATTAAATCTGTATTCTCGTTTTATTAAGGCAATAACCATAAGTTGTGCATAAGAATGGAAATTCCAAAGCTACCAGCAGTTTTTACTGGAACTGGTGATTTATTTGCAAGTTTGTTGCTTGTTTGGATGCAAAAACATCCAAATGATTTAAAACTTGCTTGCGAGAAAACCATGTCTGCTGTCCAAGCTGTGTTAAAACGTACATTGCAAGAGGCCCAAGGTGTGTGGAACATGTTTTGTTTGAAAGTCACTAAGCATTCTTGTTTTGAAATGTGTTATTATTTTACATTTGTTTAGAACTAGCAGGACCAGACAACAAACCAAACAGCGCCCAAATTGAACTACGTCTGATTAAAAGTATGAATGATTTGCTCAATCCTCAGGTAGATTACAAAGCTACTATAGTAAAATTTTAATATTTTATATTTAAATAGCAATTATATAAATTAAGGAATATTAAGCCATCTAGAATTTTGGTTAAATCATACACAATTATTATACACATTATCACAATGGTATTATTACAAATCACACATATATATGGTGGTCATGCAGACTGTGGATTATTAGATTTTTAAATTATTTACATAAAACTAAAATTCATATGCTGGTATGATACATATTTTTGAATAAATTTTAGGAAATAATGAAATCAGGAAGTGAATGGGTATTGATTGTTGTGCTCAATGAAATTAAAATTTGCAGCAATGTAAAATTTAGGCATGCTTGGATATAATTTTTCAGTTAAAACAATTGGTTAAAAATCATAAGGTTGTCTCTCGATCTGTATGATTATAACCATTTCTAAGCAAACTAGTTTTAACATCATGCAATATTTTCTCTTCATCTGATGACTCCGACTCAAGATCGTCATTACCTCTCAATATTGTCTGAACAGTTCCATCATCATCAGGTTCTTGGCCAATTTCTACAAAATATTTGATCAGTTTAGGTGTGATGCACTCCAATGGTGCTCCAGTTTGTTATTTTACTGTATCTAATACCATACGATTTTACTAGTCAGGGGAAAGTGTTAGACATTAATTCAATTGTTAATCAAATTTCTGGCCATTCAGCCGAATGCCTTACTGCACCGTATGTTGTCATTTTCCTATAATAAATGCACATGATCAGAGAAAAGCATTGTGTGTTTATGAACTATTTACATAGGGAAACTTAATCTGAGTATTGTGTCATACTTGCTATGTGCCAAACGCAAGTGATCTTACACCTTACTCTCAATTTACTTACCATTCAATGAGTATATTGAATGTGCAAGGCCTTGTCCTGATTTCTGTATTCTTCTGTTCATTGCAAACAATTTTTGTGCGACATCTCTGCTGACAACTGCATCTAAAACTGCCTTTAAATAAGCACTTTTCTTGAGAATATCCTGCAACATTGTCCTGTCCCATGATATAATTCTACACTCTGTTTTTGCTTGCATGGTTACCTACAAAATTCATATTATGCACATGTTTGTCTCATCAAGATGCAATGCAGCCCCTACTTAGTTACTTTTACCCTAATACTTATTTATGCCAGATGATTTTGCTTCTCAGTGAGAAAATGTTGGCCATTAATAATAATGGTTAATATTGGTAGGGATAGCCAGGGACGCCGGAACAATGAAAAGGCAAATGTGATTTATCACATAGTATTTTACAACTAACTCTGATATAACTCGGATAGCTTAACTCATTGAATGGCAGCACTCTCTCCCTGACAAGTAAAATCGTCTGGCGTTAGACAGAGTAAAATAATAAAGTGGGGCGCATTGCCACTTATAGGCCCAATTAAAGGGTTAAATAGGTGGATTTCACCAACCACTATCATGCAGGACTTATATTATTAGAGTACTAGTGAGAAAATAATGTTAATTAACCCGTTAATTGTGTTAATTGGGGGCAATGTGCCCGAGGCCAAGTGCCCCCAATTTTATTCTGTCTTTATCAAGGGAGTGGTCTTGTGTTATGGGTTAATGGGTAGTGTATTGACACTTGCCTCAAATATGTAAGGTACATCCTGTGACATTATCCACTCAGGAGAATTAATGAATTGACAGTCTTGTATTGTGTGAACTACTCGACCATGTTTACGGATATCCAACCTATTTCAAATAAAAACACAAATTGGTGTCATGTTTTTAACTGTGTTATAAAATGTGCTATAATGATTATTCAAGTTTTAAGTAATGCATAAATAGGGGATTCCGATTGGTAGGGGTTTAGATCAGAAAACACTCCCAAAAGGGTGGGGGATTTGAAGCTTTTAGAATTTATTTATCCTCATGGTATGGGGATTGGGTAGGGATTAGTAATGAGCCAGTTGTCGATCATAGTAGTTCATTGCAGCCATACATAGTTATTTGAAATGTAAACTGTTTTAGCAGTGTTTAATTAAAAACTCTTAATTTACGGGCGAATGCCCCAGGTACAGGGGACATTTGGAACCTTTAATTTGATAGTTCCCAGGATGTGGGGCATTTGCGAATATTAGAACAAAGTCAAATCCCCACCCTGTCCGGGATGGGGGAGGTCGGGATTTACATTGACTCGTGCATTAAGGTCACGATATTTGTAATGCAAATAGCCAAATACGTAAAACAAATACCTTCCATGCAAAAGAACAGACAAAGTTTTCAGTTCTGTCACGCCATCTATAACCCAAATTTCTCCCGATGATAATAGCTTCGTATCAAAATCTTTTGTTAAATATTGAAACTGATGCCGTAGCGTATTTATAGGTTTAAATATCTTGTCATAAACTGTCTCCATATCATGGACAAAAGTCTTTGAACGTCGCGAAAACATTATATAACCTAAGTGCAAAAAATTGCCAACAAAAAACAACAAGTTCCACACAAAAGTGTCCGGTGCACACAGCACTAGCCATCCCCAAAGGGCAAAAAATATCCCGGCTAAACCAAGACAAAGACGAAGATAAAGTAAACCATTTAACGTCGGTGGACAGAAGTAAGATAACACAAGCCACACGTTCGCAATTTGAAATAAAACATTATTAGCGGGAAGCCATTGACAATGTATTGTATACGTCATGGTGTATCACTATTAAAAGTCATTACTCTATTTTCTGTTAGTCTCTCGCCATTTTTTTTAATTCGTTCTTTTATGTTTTAAATATTTCTTTGGCGACACTGCGACGGTTCCTTTTGTTGTTTCATTTGCATAATTGCATACGATATCGTGTTTATACACGTGTACAGAAATTCACTGACACAAACAAAAAGATACATAAGTTGTGCAATTTTGTTTGGATGTTTTTCATTACTTTAGCTCGATTTTTTCAGGAAATGAAACCATATCTTACCCAGAAATGTTGTAAAGAATTATGGATTTATGATATAATTTTTGTTCAAGATTTGGTTAAAATGTTTATAGGACTTTGAATGTTTTTTATAGTGTGAAATTTCAGTTGCCGGATACTGAAAAAGATGTAATTTCAGATGGGACAAATATATATCACGGGATTCGTAAATTGCAGCTACCACTGCATTTAATTAGAGGGCCAACACTCTACCTTGCCCCCAGCATATTACCATTTTCTATTCATATTTTAATCACACCAACTGTCATTCTTTTACAAAAACAGTGTATACCTATACATATGTCACTAGCATGGATTGTAAAATAACAATCCATGGTCACTAGCATCTAAAATATATATACCACATCCCCACAAAAACTGCTTGTTAGTTAATTCATAATTGGGTGGTTTCATAAACAATATTATGCAGCAAATAGTGGTCAACGGGCCCGTCAACCTGCAGTTAACGGAGTGTGACAATGTTAATTATAATTTTCATCATATGTAGTAGTTTTATTTTTTAACCCTTAACTCTCTCTTTGCTGTATGCAGTAGCCTTGGTACAATGCCAATAACTAGCATATAATATTATAATTAAGTTTCATTTTCTTGCTCACATGAGTGTTATTTCTGAGGTTGACCATTTTCTACTGCCTTATAAAGGTTATTGTCTTATTAAAACCTACAACATGAAGTTCATGATTACTAATAAAGGTGACTAAATGCCTCTTGATATGCTTTCATGTATGCTTCGTGTTCTTCTGGCGTCATTTTCTCAATCATTTCATCTGTGATATCATCAAGTGCGATATTTTTATCCCCAATTTTCACTGTGATATCCTCATCATCATCACTATCAACTTGTGTATTCTTCTCACCCCTAGCCTGTGATGTATCGGGAACGTTACTAAACTCGTTATCAGACTCATCACTCGACTCTTGTGGCAGACTTTTGACACTTTCCTGTAACTTTACTTTCTTATTCTCATGTGCTAATAAATCCTTCATGATTTCATGGTTTGCAGTTTGGGCTATTTCTGGGGGTGCTGCATTCTCTGTTGAGGTTGAGGGATGTCCACCACTGTCTTGCAATGGTCCCACTGTACTTTGGCTTATCCATAATGGAGTCTCTTTTGATTTTCTTGTTTCCTCACTAACTTCATCTCCCATGTTGATTTTAATATCATGTTCGTAAAGATTCTCATTAACAAGTCCTTTAGTGCTCCAGCCCTGTTTTATGCTGCTGTTAGCCGAGGTTCGAGGGACTAATTGTTTCATACATAACTCAGGGCCTGGCTCTAAGATCTCTGGTGCCAACTTTATATCTTCGCATCCTCGTAACAACACAAATATCTGTTCCATTTGCTCATTAAACAGAGCCAATAATGAACGAGAATTCTGCTTCTGCTCGACGTCTGTGGTATCCTCATCAATTGGGCCGCTACAGAATTCACAGATAAGGTTCCCCGACATTGGATCAAGTAGTCGATCTATCTCTAAGTCCGAATACCTCTTATTACATTGCGTACAAACAAAGGAAGGTCTATTGGTGGCTTCACGTTCATCATGCTCGATTTTATTTCTAATATGATCCAGTTTGTACTTGACAACATTGACAAATAATTTATAATCAATGAAGAAATAATTAAATGTTATTGTTGCACCAGTATCCGCCTGTTTGCCTTTGTAGACACGTTGTTTTACTAGTTTGTCGTTCTTTAATCTTCCCAGGATATTGCGGAGTTGTTTCTTGTCAAATTTCAGCAATTCAGATAGGTCATCCTCTTTGACACATGTGTGTTTCACTAGTAGGTTTACAATGCCAGTATGTTCTGTTTCGTAAAACGATTTCACTACTGTTAATGCCAGACGTTTCAGAATATCTGGAACTTCTGTTAAAAGTTCTGTTTCGTCCACTGTCTGATTCATTTTATCAAATAATTACTAAAGGAAAACCCTGTTTTGAAATGGTATTCACAACGTTTTATATCACGGAGGTTTTATTGTCACAAGCTCCTGTTCGCAGGCTACTCCAGGGGGGAGCTATAATCTTTTTAATTATTTAGTCAAACTATAATTCTGTATTTTTGCACATAAATCTTTCATTAAATTTATATATCTTTTATAAATCTTTCATTAGATTTATATTAAGTTTTACAACAATTTTAAACGTATATACTCGAGTAGTGAGACTTTACTTCCTTAAGAGTTAAGAAATTAAGAAATATTTTAAAGCTCAGAAGTTCGAATTTGTTAAAGGCCCCCCCCCCCCCCCCCCCCCCGTTATTTTCAGCAATTTGCAGGTGATTTACAAAAACAATATGGCGAACTTAGAGAAAGTGAAAATATTAGTTGTTGGTGATTCAGGTCAGTGGCGAAGATAATACATTGTTTATTTTATAGAAATAGTTATTTAGTGACACAGTTTTCTATATAAATGGTAGTATTGATATCGTGAATTTGTAGGGAGTATAAAAAAGTATAAAGTTTTCATATTTTAAAATTGATAACCACTCTCATTTCTAGGGGTTGGTAAAACTTCACTTGTCAACTTAATATGTCATAATGAAAGCCTACCCAATCCTGCTTGGACCATTGGTTGTTCTGTAGAAACCAAGGTATTTCGTTTTGCTATAAAGTGGGACAATGTTCGCACATTTATTATGCCAGACATTCTAACTTACTGTACTTGTTGAGGGAAAGTCTTGCACATTGATGGGTTAATCACCTGTATTATTCCGTTGCCTCGGTTCATAATACTGCCTACCGTAAACGTTGCTCAAATATCTGAATTGAGTTTAAAATATCTCCACCTAGGTGTATGACTATAAGCAAGGGACGCCTCAAGAAAAGGAGTTTTTTATTGAATTATGGGATATTGGTGGTTCTGCAAATCACAAATGTAGCCGGTCAATATTTTATACATCAATGAATGGTATGGAAATTTTAGCTACTACTGTCATTCCAATTGAAGTGTTGCTCAAATATTGATTCAATACATTACCTCGGGCTGACCCATTCATTTCATCAAGTCCCTTGAGATATTCATACACTTCCTAGTATAATTGTAAACTTCCTGTTGAATAGTTTGAATGCACCAATCACTTTTGTTGTTTGTGCAACTAACCAATCATAAATAGAAAGGAAGTGACCAGAAATGATCAAATACTTGGAATTGGCTCTTTCACAGAAAGTGTATGAATATCTCAAGGAACTTGATCAAATGAATTGGTCAGCCTGAGGTAATGTATTGAATCAATATTTCAGCAACACTTCAATTGGAACGACAGTAATACTTAAAGGTGCTCTACAGTCCGATCTGCGCATGTGCACAAATGAGCCCACTTTTTATGATACAAACAGTTTAACTATGTTTTGAGTTCTTGAAAAGCCTGGTTGTTGTTTCTTGATCATTTATTATACTCTAGAAGCTTGAAAATATAAATAGTTGTCGAATAAAGCTCAATATTTTGGACACAAAAATGTAAACAAAGGCTTTCACTTTGTTTACATACGGACTGTAGATCACCTTTAACATTATGAAATCAAATTCTTGAAGTTCAATTCTATAATTTCTGTTGTATATTTTGACAGGTCTAATATTGGTCCATGATCTAACAAATCGTAAATCATATTTAAATCTTAGAAAATGGTTAGCTGAGGTCCTTGGTGCTGGGAAAGAACTATCAAGTAATAATTTAGGCAACATAATGTGAATATAGTTTTGTTATACAGAACTTTCTGTGGGCAGTCTTTTGTACTCTTTGATCGACCATAAAGACCTGGCATGTTACCTTAGATGCGCAATTGTCATTGTAGTAATGATTTCATTAAACTCAAGAAAAATCTCAACAAAAACTCTAATCTTACTTATTGCAGGTGTGGGTTCCAGAAAGACCTCAAAAGCTAGGTAAGATTCTACATTGCAGACCGATTAGTGGACAAAATGAGGAAATGTTGACAGTTAAAACTACACCAGTCTCTCAATTTGATTTCATTGCCATCAAATATATATACAAGACTACTATATATGAAATGAATCATTGTTGTTTTCTCTTACTCTGATAACTGCAAGTTGGTCACTATCTGATGCATCCCATACAATGCTTAGTGAAACCCGAACAGTCTGTGCCAGTGTAGGCAGGGTGCGATAATTCACGTACTTGCGTACCAGAGGTACGCCAATATTACTGTCTGGTACTTATTTGTTTTCAACCACGCAGGTACGCGGAACTCTTGCTATCTGCTTACTTATTTTTTGCTTGTACCACATGACCTTTCTAAGTCCAAGGTATTCAATACCGTAATTTAGTTGGTATATCATGTGTCTGAGATGTCTTGGCATGAAACATTATTGCACTGATGGCACTAAGAAATGTTGGAGTCCATTGTTTGAAATAACAAAACTCCCTTTTCAAATAGCAAAACTCCCTTTTCAAACAGCGGAACACCCTTTTCAAAACTCCCTTTTCAAATAGCAAAACTCCCTTTTCAAATAGCAAAACTCACTTTTCAAATAGCAAAATTCCCTTTTCAAATAGCAAAACTCCCTTTTCAAATAGTAAAACTCCCTTTTCAAAGAGCAAAACTCCCTTTTCAAACAGCAGAACTCCCTTTTCAAAATAGCAAAACTTTATTTTCAAATAGCAAAACTTTCTTTTCAAATAGCAAAACTGCCTTTTCAAATAGCAAAACTCACTTTTCAAATAGCAAAACTCACTTTTCAAATAGCAAAACTCACTTTTCAAATAGCAAAACTCACTGTTCAAATAGCAAAACTCCCTTTTCAAATAGCAAAACTCCCTTTTCAAATAGCAAAACTCCCTTTTCAAATAGTGAAACTCCCTTTTCAAATAGCAAAATTCCCTTTTCAAATAGTAAAACTCCCTTTTCAAAGAACAAAACTCCCTTTTCAAATAGCGGAACTCCCTTTTCAAAATAGCAAAACTTTCTTTTCAAATAGCAAAACTTTCTTTTCAAATAGCAAAACTGCCTTTTCAAATAGCAAAACTCACTTTTCAAATAGCAAAACTCACTTTTCAAATAGCAAAACTCACTTTTCAAATAGCAAAACTCACTTTTCAAATAGCAAAACTCACTTTTCAAATAGCAAAACTCACTTTTCAAATAGCAAAACTCACTTTTCAAATAGCAAAACTCACTGTTCAAATAGCAAAACTCACTTTTCAAATAGCAAAACTCCCTTTTCAAATAGTGAAACTCCCTTTTCAAATAGCAAAATTCCCTTTTCAAATAGCAAAACTCCCTTTTCAAATAGTAAAACTCCCTTTTCAAAGAGCAAAACTCCCTTTTCAAACAGCAGAACTCCCTTTTCAAAATAGCAAAACTTTCTTTTCAAATAGCAAAACTGCCTTTTCAAATAGCAAAACTGCCTTTTCAAATAGCAAAACTCTGTTTGCTATCTCGTAGTCTGAACATACTTTTCAGAAACCTGTATTTTATGAACCTTATTTTTAAAGACTAAGTACACATTGAGCATTGAGTACTGAGTTTGTTCTAGCGCAAGTATGCGGCAACAACCATTGGCGTACCAGTCGGGTACGACTAGAAATCTTGAATGATCGCACCCTGAGTGTAGGTAGAGACATTAATGAGGTAACTTGAATTGCGAGAGATACAGTACAACTACCTGAAAAATACATTTAGAACTTCAACATTTTGAGTGATGACCCTTTGAAGCCTCCCCCTTTGTGAGGCTACTAATACTCACAAGTAGATGGAGTGTTTGAAAATAAATTATTTCATTTTCTTGCAGTTTAATCGTTGATTTTGATAATGAAGATGAATATGATCCAGAGCAATTTGCTGGAAATCAAGTCCCTATTTTAATTGTTGGAACCAAATGTGTGAGTTGTAAACAAACTACATGTATATTTGATGTCTTCATTGTCGATTTAAAAGACGAAAGGCGATAACCTTTTTTACCGTCCAGGATCAGTCAGGGACGTCGAGAACAAACAATTTTATCCATGGGATTAATCTAGCTGAAGAAGTTGGTGCTGACAGTATATCAATAGTGAGTCGTACAAACTTTTTTATACAGACACTGGCACTATTTGTGCATGCATTAATGCATATAATTGCAGCAGTGAACAGGAATTTTTGTTTCAGTCATGACTAAGTAAACCTTGATCCCGTTGATAGGATTGCACTAAAATACAAGAGCTCTCACATGGATCAGAAAATTTGCAGAAACTTAATATGTTTATTAATAAAGTAAGTGAGAACTACATCAAATCAAATACTTCACTAGCATGAATTTGTTGTTGAAGTGTAAAAGTATATACATTTTCACCCTTTTTACACTAGGTTATTGAAAGGAGATTTTATTCAAGAGACAATTCACAGGTAATAAGCAAATCATTCTGCTTCCATTTCATTCTGCTTCCATTCCTTTACTCTGTTTAATGCCAGATGATTTTAATTGTTAACATGCTAGAATTAGCGTTACTGTATATGGTTGCGTTTTTTTAATGAAAGGTTCCCTGTCTGTGTGTTGCAAGATATGCACATCTTTCAACATTTTTCATTTTCAGACAATGTTACTCCAAGATAATGCCCGCTTGGACAACTGGAAAGAACGTGCAAACAAGAGAAAGTTTTTTTGAAATTCAAGGTGGAATATGTTTCGTGTCATGTTAGTATCACTTACTGCATAATTGTGACGTGATTCATTCTTAGGGGCCTAGAAATTATGTGATGTATTTTCTCACATTTTACTGGCATACCGAAAGTCTTTACAAGCTGGTCTTTGTTTAGTTATTTGCAGCGACATTGATTCAAACTCAGCTTACAGTGTCCATATATAGCACTGCTACCACAGCCATCAAAGCGATAATTAATCAAATTACACACATGTTAATTGTGAACATTTGGGTAATATGCATTGGTCAATGTCAACTTTTTCTGTGGGATGCAAAGATGTGGTGTTGGGTGTCATTGTTATCAGCCCTTGGCTACTACTGTCTATTAGTATATACATATTTATAAGAAATTGCAAAAAATATCAATCATTAATTTATTACTAATCAAACTCAATATTCTCATTCATTTCTACTACTGATTGATGTAATTTTATTGGAACTAAAGTATATCTTGTATAAGGAATATATACAAAGCAATACTAAATACACTAAAAAGGTAAATTCAGTACCCAAATAATAAACAGTAGAAAAATATTTACAATTTATAGTGAATGAAAGTGGAATTATACAACCTTTTAAAGAATATCCAAAACTACATGCAACATATACATGGTTAGGTTGCATCTTCTTTCACCACTTTTTCACATTGGATAAAAGTTGCTACCCTTCATACAAACATGACATACATGTCAAAATTTTCTGAACATTATCAAACTATATCTGTATTAGTTTTCATAGTTTAAGGCTAGCTATCAGTCAACTCAGTGTTAGGACTGTTAGTGTTAGTAAACACCCTTTATTATATAAACATAAGTGTTATATAGAGTTTTTGGCCACTGAGGAAATTCGTATTTAAAAACACATAAAAAATACGATATTTTTACGTGTGGAAATCTCATTTTTCCAAGCCAATCAAAAAGCACCTAGGAAATATGTTTGACCAATCGGAGAAATTGTTGTAAAACGCATTGCCACGGATGTTTTGTTTTTCAATTTTGTTTATATAATAAACAGAAAAATACATGGGTGCTTACAAATACCAGATTTATTTCTCGAAATAAATCTGGTATTTCCGCACACCCATGTATTATTCTCTATGTATTCCATACCTTGGGTATGTCAGAAATTTCAATGGTAAATAAAATATTTTTCAATAATTTGCATATGTCACAACATGTATTGCATTATTAATACCTGTCACTAGTAAATTTCACTGCAGTAATAAATTTACGTGGTGTTTCCACAAACAAAAACAATTAAATTTCACTTTTTGGAATGTTGTATACCTACCATATAAATACAGTATACTATATAAAATAGGATCTATTTTTAAAAAATAGGATAAGTATCTATTTCAAAAAAATACGTACCTATTTCAAAAAAATATGATAACTATTTAGATCTATTTTAAAAATAAATGCTCCAAAAAATGAGAGCAAGCATTAGACTGATACATAATGTATTCTTTGCTGCAGCACATGATTGGACCTTTGTTGTTTTATCTATAATAGAGAAAGTAATAAAAACATTTATTACGAAGAAGTAATATAAGTTATGCATAATGCTCCTGTAATCGTGCAAAAAAGTACATGTACTGTATTGGAAATGAGAAAGCATTGATCATGCTGGACCTGCTGGTTTACAAAATCGTGGTGTGTCCTCAAAACAAAAACGTGATATAGTAGACACCTTAAGATTGACGTTTACGGCAAACGTCAAACCGCTAGCGAAGTTTTTGATTTTACAATTCTATTATAACAGCTTTTACACCAGTTTTGAAATATGTTAAACAATTATTAAACTTGTGGTGTTTAGCAATGATTTAAGAAAGGAAATTAACCACTAGTCATGTATTCACCAAAGCAGTAAATTAAGATTTAGCGTTTGAAGTTGACGTTTGGCGTATAAATTTCGTGCTTGAACGACTACAAGCTCTCGTAGCAGTTCAAGCATAAAATTTATACGTCGACTTCAAACGCCAGATCTTAATTTACTGCTTTGGGGAATACATGACTAGTGGTTAATTTGCTTTCTTAAATCATTGCTAAAGAGCACAAGTTTAATAATTGTTTAACATATTTCAAAACTGGTGTAAAAGCTATTATAATAGAGTTGTAAAATCAAAAACTTCGCCAGCGGTTTGACGTTTGCCGTAAACGTCAATCTTAAGGTGTTTTACCTGAAGTAGTTGGTGTAATGTTGGTGCTGTCTTTCACTGCTCCTCCTGCGCTCTTGGTGATGCTAGCGTTGGTGGTACTAGCGTTGGTGGGACTAGCGTTGGGGGTACCAGCATTGGTGGGACCAGCATTGGTGGGATTTCGTGATGACTGCTCAATAGGGACTCCACCTAACATGTTCCATAAATTGTTAATATTCAGATAGATTGTAGATACAATATTTAATGACTAATATATTAAAAAATTGTCATGGACATGTTAACAGTATTTGTTGCTGAATTGTATCATGCACCTAGGTAATTTGATGTTTGTGATGTTACTCTGAGTGTATATCCACACAGGGCAAGCTTGAAAAATACGCCTGTCCATGTATCTTGGTTTTCTCTTGTAACCCATGTTGCAAACAGTTCTACAAAAACGTCAACCTCGTACCCAGGACCTGCCCACCCGATTTTTTAATGCGGCCATCAATCTCGTTCCCCGAGCCTGCGATCCTCGGGAAGGAACGCGAGGCTCTGGGATAATCCGTTTCAGGGAGGAATCTGATTGGCCATTGAAATGGAATGCGTAGTTCAATCTTAGCCAGGATTCTTGGCTTCCGGTAACGGATTATCCCAGAGCCTTCGAGCCTTCGATTCCTTCCCGAGGATCGCAGGCTCGGGGAACTAGATTGTGCGGCCATATTAAAAAATCGGGCGAGCAGGCCCTGGGTACGAGGTTACATACATGTTTAAATGCAAGTTTATTCATACCATACCATACCATGGAAACTCGTTAGCATTACAATAAAATCACAATAAACCTTATTATCTATGTTGTTCATGTTTATGCAAAAATGTGGTCTTTCATCGTCACGTGCGTATTGTACTTTTCTCATGTCAACCAATAGGAATGTTCAAAATATCCTATTGTTAAAGTCATGGATGGGCAATTGGACAAAACCGTTGCTATTGGCTGGTTGAGCAACAATACAATACGCACGTGACGATGAAAGACCACATTTTTGCATAAACCTGAACAAAAACATAGATAGTGAGGTTTATTGTAATGCTAATAGGTTTCCAAACCATCTCCTCTATTAACTATGTTCATACCAACCTCCATATAATGCTTCTACTATCTCTTGGTGATCATTGGCACCTCGAACACATTGCACACCCTTGTAGAACCCTATCTCTACTTTGCAAGACATATATTTCGCACCATTGCTGACAGTGATGCTGCCATGGTCCGAAGTGGCACTGATCGTCAATATACATGTTTGATTGCGATTGTCGTTTGATTTCGAAACCCACGCTTCACAAACACGCATTATCTTTTTGTCACATGTTACTGTGATGTTTGTACCGATGTAATTATTTGCTGGTGTCGAAGTGGTGAAGTTTACCATCATGTCATCACCCTTGACATTCTTTATACATTCCTTGATGAAACATGCTAAAATTGTTGTGGAAAATGGCATCATCAGTTATATTCATTCTAAGACTTCATAATAAAAGTCCTAATTACTCGCTGGGGCACTTGTGCCCCGGGGCCCGGGCGAGTATAGGTTTCGGCTCGCATTTTTCTCGGATCGTGGATCGAAGATCGATAGCCACAAAATAGAATATTAATGAGCTCCCTAATTTTTACCCAAATTATCCATAAAGCTCCTGCGGCTTCTGCCAATTTTTACCCAAATTATCCATAAATAACCCTGCGTTTTGAGGAAAATTTGGGAAAATTGAACAATTTTACAAGGAATTTCGACATGGAAACAGCAACCTTCGACTGTTATATAATACGTTTGGCTGCGCTGCTTTTATATTTTGAGAAGAAAGCCACACCGTTCGATTCAGCGTAAGAAATTAATTGTACTTACAAGTGTATTACTAAACACCAGTATTCTAGCGATTTATGGCCTTTGAAAATGAAGCGAAATTGATAGTATTTTGAGCCAAAAAGCCCCCAAAATATTTTATTTTGAATGTTTTAAAGCACAGTTTAATCCTAGACCAACTGGCGGCTGACAGTTTTGAAGAAGAATGTAGCGTACTAAATATAACTTTAGTCTTTACTTGTAGGGCCTACCGCATTTTAGTACTGTTTTTATAAAGTACTAAAATGCAAAGATGTAGAAGTACTAAAAGTACTTCACGCTCGTATTCGATTGTACACTAATGTGCGTTGTTGTATGGCCCCACTCCCCAGCGAGTTAACGCTCCGCAGAGCGTCTTGTTAAATACCATAAACCTCCGACTATAAGCCCTGGGCATAGAATACAGGGGGGGCGCTTATATACGGGGGGGGGTAATTATACGTGGACGATTTTTTGTGTTAGTAATAAACAAGTCGGACATAAACAAATTAGTCATAAACAGGAAAATAAACATGTATTATTTAATAATAACGCGCTTTGATTCACATTGTCGGCTATCAAAACAATGACAATGTTTTTAAATATCGTTCTTTGCTATATTAAAAGACAATGTCAATGTTGAATTACTTGAATAACGTAGTGGGCTACTGGGCTTATATTCAGGGGACTTATATTTGGAGGGCTTATATTCGGGGAGGCTTATATTTGGACTGAGGTGAGCGTTAGTATATGTGGAGGGCTTATATTCGGTGGGGGCTTATAGACGGAGGTTTACGGTATACCAGTGACCAAATTTGAGGATCTGTGTAAAAAACGCTACTGGCTCTACTAAATTGAGGAAATATCATTTTACAGCCATTTTGTCTTGTCATTGTGACTTCTTTACTTGAATTGTACTGAAATAGTGTATTAATTTATACCTCCATTTTGCTGTGCCAATGTAGGATACAGGTCATGTGTAGAAACGCCTTGATTTGAAACAAACAAAAACAAAACATGAAAAAATCAAGATGGTTCGTAAATAAGGAATACGATCATATAGTTTGTGCATGTACTACTCAATCCTTGGAAAATGGACTCGGCTCAGCAAAAACACTGAAGAATATTTTTTATTCATTTGTACGTTGATATGGAACATTTACTTGACATTTAAAATTGTGTGATGCTTATTTATTTATTCAATGTTTTAAAAATATTTATGACTATTTCACAATGATCTAACCTCGTTACGAGGTTGACAATGATCAGTCAGATTTTTCAAGGTATGCAGACCTGTCAACTCTCCCGGTGCTGCCGGGAGACTCCCGGTTTTGACCTTTTTCTCCCGGTATCAAGATATTTTCTCCCGGTTGCTTGTTTTAATTGTTATGAGGTAATGGAATATTTTCCAGATTCAAATATCTGGCAAGAAATAGTAATCGTGTGAAAATCACTTGTGTCCAAGCTGAAACTTACTCTATGAACTACAAGTGTTCGGCTTTTTTATCTACTTTCGCCTATAAGCGATAAGTAGATTATTGTAAGGATGATGTAACATGGAATCATGAAAACTAGTTGCATTCTTGTCATGTTAGCATTAAATTAAATTAAACAAGTTGTTGAAGCGAATGCAATTATAATGATTATAAAGCCGGGAAAATTATTAGAATTTTTTACTGTTTGAACGCTGCATATGACTTTAATTTTGCTCTCCCGGTTTTTGATAAAATCTCGCAGTTTTTTATAATTTTAAGAATTAAGGGCTAAAAAGCGAAATCTCCCTGTTTTAAAATTTGAAGGTTAACAGCTAGGTCTGGGTATTAGAAAATTAAAGTTCAAAGTATACATAGTATACATACATAATGTAATAAAATATAAAAACAAAAGTGTGCAGTCAGTGCAGAACCACTTCCATCTCTCCTTCATCTAAATATAAGAGAACGAAAGTAGAAAGAAACATTATTTGATACTATTTTATTCAACAGAAATGGCAAATCTAGAAAATCGGGAGAGCTGCCGCGACCAGGCTCTCTTTGAACTCTCTTTCAAAGAGCCTGTTCGCAGGCTACCAATCTGAGGGAAATCCCCGCGGCAGCAAGTTACGCAAATACTTACGCAAATAAATTTTGCAAAATAATTATGCAAATAGTAATTCAAGGTCAAGAAATGCTGACCAAAAAATCAGCAAATTCCCAACCCTAAGAAAATACTGAGTTACATTAAACAATTCACTATGTTACTAGCACATAAATAATAGTTTACTTTGTAAGCATAAATTCGTGATACTTAGGGATTTCTATACAGAATGAACTTTGAAATATGATACGCAATACTTGATATGCATATAATGCCCAGTCATGAAATTCAAGAATATATTGTATACAAGTAGTTTTATTACATCTGTAAATCAGAAACCCCAGGTATAATCACTTCAGTGTCCCAAGGAACGCTGTTATCACTGAATATAAATAAATAGATATGTGATTGATACAATATTGCAAGATTCTATTTCACAAGCCTGAAGTTGAACTTTCTGGCGTTCCGAGCCAAAACACCGTCTGAGCGACGCATGTTATTACAGTATTTCACGCCTCCCCAAGCAAATATAAGCAGTCAATTGTGAGAGAAACAGCCTTGATACATATTTCAAGGACATGTTTAAAACTAATAGTCTCAATATTTCAAGGACTTGTTTAAAATTAATAGTCTCAATCAGGTTAATAAAGTAAAGATTGAAGTAAAAACTAACCTTCATTCTCAATTCTTGTCCCTTGTAGTAATAATGTTTATATTGACGCCTACTGTCTTTAGACTTTTTGTAATAATGTTTATATAGACGCGTACTCCGTTAGTCACCGTTTGTGGTGTTTATAGGGCCACGATCACTCATGATTTGATAACTGTCCTCCGCAGAGTCGGTGTCAATTAAATAGTGGTGCACGTGGGTGAGACGATTTTTACAACAATTACGTAATTTGTTTCCCCCAGTAATATTACGTAATTTTACTAAAAGTTCGTAAGGCTCTGCGGAGGAGCCTGACGGATCGAGGAGAGTGTGATTTGATGGATTCAGAAAATCTGCAAGCTGTTATTTTACATTGCATTCTAACGTCAATGTGACATTGCATTTCTTGAACATTCTCGTACCCAGGGTACTCGTATCTCGTCCTGGCAAAGTGGGATCATATAAACAGCACATAGCGCATGATTCCTGATCCCTTGGGGTGAGGCAGCACTTGCGATAGTAACTTCTAGTATAAATAATAAATGTTTATTTTAAACAGCTAGCGGTCACGGTTTGTGTTGTTAAATTAAGGCTCTTGATTCCACTCATCGCAAAAACAGCTTGCAGCGAGCTAGCGAGTCCTCTTTTATCTTGCGAGTCATATCGTCGAGTCTTCTATTAGATTAAAACCCTGGACAAACTAGGAAACATTGTTGCGGAAACATTGTTGCGGAAACATTGTTTCCTGCCAATGTATCGCCATGTTTCGCAGAGTGGACACCACTGGGAAACATCAGCGAGAAACATTAACGCTTAGGGTAAATTAGTCATTGTGACAAGTTTTATCGTCCGATTGCAAATAGAGATGTTGATGTTGGAGATGCATCTTAGTTGTTGTCTACCGGCGAAGATGATGAACTTTGTCTTGTCATGATTGAGTGTAAGGAGGTTGTTGGTATGATAACCGAAAAGGATCGTAGGTCGGAGTCGAGTTTTGACCTTTCTTTACGGAAATACTTTCTGCAGACTAATAAAGGAGTGTATCATCGGCATAAAGTATCGACTTGCAGAGTTGCAGTGGGTAAGGCGTTCAGGTAGATCATTAATATAAATAAGGAAGAGAAGTGGTCCAAGAATACTTCCCTGAGGACTCCGACAGTTACTAGCCTACGGTGTAGGCTAGACAGTTACTGGCTTGGGTTGGGACATTGAACTGTTGATCACGGTTACTTGGGTACGGTTTGATAGATATGAGAAGAACCAGTCGAGAACAGACGAGGTAAAACCGATTGTTTTCAATTTCTCCAATACGATGGTGTGATCGACGGTATCAAAGGCTTTTCTTAGGTCGATAGAAACGGCACCAATAATCTTAATTTCTGTGATCGAGATTATCCAGTATCTGCTCAGTAAACGGTGCCAGGGCAATGGTAGTTGACAGTTTGGAGCCAAAAGCGAATTGTTGGGAAGCTAGTAACTTGTGTTCTTGCAGGTAATTGTAAACTTGATGGTGGACGTTTGGTTCTAGTAACTTACTCAAGGTTGGTAGGATGGTGATTGGTTAATTTTCGGTAATTGTTGGATGAAGTTGGGTCTCCAGATTTGAAAATTGGAGTAACTCTACCTTTCTTCCAGATGTCGGGAAATGAGCCACAGCATAAGGAGAAATTGAAAATTTTGGTCAAATATGGTGCGATTATATATACGGAAACTCTGAGTAGTTTAACACTAATTCCGTCCAGACCAGTGGCTTTGTTAGTTCTTAATTTACTCAGTGCCTGCAACACAAACATTTCATCAGAAATTAAAGGAATGCTGATGGGGTGATGTAGCGGTAATCTTACTCAATTTAGGTTTGATTAAATCTTTAATTTTGTTCGCAAGCGTGCATACGGGGGCGTTTTCACTGATAACACAGGAAAGAGTGGTTTTAGTTGGATTGCGAGAAGTGACTTCATTGTTTCCAAAGTTCGGCAGGTTTCTCTCTGTTTTCATTGATCAGATGTTGATAGTAGTTGGATTTTCATATCTTAACTTGCTGTTTTATGAAATTCTTAAGATCGCGGTAGGTATTCCAGTGGTGTTCTGAATTATACTTTTGGGCATGTTTTAAATGGAAATCACAGCCCTATTTCTCTTCTGTGATAAGGTTAAGAAGTTCAGAGATCATCCAGGGTGCTCTTATACGGTAGATTTTACTCTCCTGGTTTTCATAGGGGCGTGCTTATTGGCCGATTCACAAAATGTTTCGCAAAACTTATTGGTAATTTCATTAATATCATTTGTTATAGCGAGTCAACGAAAGTCCAATCTGATTTTCCGAGATCATCTTTAAATTTGCTTTCATTGTAACGTTTAATGTCTCTATAACATCCTCCAGATTTAGGAAGGGAATGATCGCAGATTGACAAAGGAAAAACAGTAAAACTCCGCTAGAAACAACGCGTGGATTTCTAACTCTTCTTATAAAGTGTTCAACCCCACCAAAATTTTGCTCCACCCCTCCTATTTAAGTCTTTAACCATAACGCCTGTCGACATTCTCTCAGTCGTGCCGCTTGCACCCCACTAGTTTCCCGACCCCACCCCTCCTTAAAAAAAATGAAAATCCGCCCTTGTTTGTCATATGGTACTGGGGCCGGTTGTTCAAAAGTGGATTAGCGCTAATGCAATCTCAAAACCAGAGCCTGCAATCCTCTGAGGAGACTTGCTTTGCGGGCTCTGGTTTCGAGATTGGCGCTAATGCAGGTTTAAAATTTCAGCCGTTCCGCACGTTGTAACCAATAATTTATTGGCGTTGTAATGCCATTGTATGCAATAAAGTATTGGTTACAATGGATTTACAATTAATCCAAACGCTAATCCTAACTCAAACCCTAACCCTAACCCTAACCCCACCTTCTAACCCCTAACCCCACCTGCTAACCCCGCAACCTAACCGCAAACCCTAACCCCGGCCAGCTACCCCTCCGGGGAATTGCCCAACCGCCTCCCCTCCATCCACCAAGCAAGGCCAATTACATGATATTTGTGGTGTTACTCTGAGTGCATTTCCACACCGGGCGAGCTTGAAAAATACGCCCGGCCACGGTGGGATTCGAACCTGCGACCTTTGGAATACTAGCCCAATGCTCTTCCAACTGAGCTACGCGGTCAGAACGGTTCGAGTAAGTGATATTTCGGAACAGAATCTAGTTCCTTCGATACCAATGTTTTCTAGTAATATGAATTTTTTCTGTGTTGGTGTAGTGTACTCAGGTGAATATGATATTTGTGGTGTTACTCTGAGTGCATTTCCACACCGGGCGAGCTTGAAAAATACGCCCGGCCACGGTGGGATTCGAACCTGCGACCTTTGGAATACTAGTAACACCACAAATATCAGAGTAACACCACAAATATCATATTCACCTGAGTACACTACACCAACACAGAAAAAATTCATATTACTAGAAAACATTGGTATCGAAGGAACTAGATTCTGTTCCGAAATATCACTTACTCGAACCGTTCTGACCGCGTAGCTCAGTTGGAAGAGCATTGGGCTAGTATTCCAAAGGTCGCAGGTTCGAATCCCACCGTGGCCGGGCGTATTTTTCAAGCTCGCCCGGTGTGGAAATGCACTCAGAGTAACACCACAAATATCATATTCACCTGAGTACACTACACCAACACAGAAAAAATTCAATTACACTTATAACTAAATCTTTTGTGCAGTGGTTGTGGTTTTGTTTCCAGTTACAACCCAATACTTTATTGCATACAATGGCATTACAACGCCAATAAACTATTGGTTACAACGTGCGGAACGGGTGAAAATTTAACCCACTGTTTTAGTTTGCATATTTCTGATGTCCATTTATTTTAAAATGTCAGAAAAGAAAACTTCTATTGATCCAGACATGGTTTGTGAAGAAATATTTCCAAATTTATAAACAAGCTGTTAGGAAGTTTACTTTGAATTTTAAGTTAACCTGGGATTAAGGTAATCGACTTTTGAACAACCGGCCCCACAACTATTAAAAGAAAATCAGTTATATAGGAGTATAACTGCATGTTCATTATATGAATTGATGTTGTCATTGAGCCATTCATTAGGTGTTTTAGTGATATGCAAGGGGGTAAAAACGATATCCTAAAGGGGGTATAAAGAAATCCATGGGGTAACTTCCAAAAATCGCATCCAAGGGGGTTATAAAATTTTTATATCCTAAGGGGATTATGAAGGGACCCCTGCAAATATGAAGGGACCCCTGTGACAATGCAAATACATTTATTGGAATTATTTTGCATCGTTTGCTCTTTCCTGTATACATGTACGTATGTGGAGTTGACCATCATGTGCATCATAAGATGAAACTCTCAAATCCACTATGTTCCAAGTTCCAACTGTAAATATATAAACCTGGATCCCATTATATCTCTTGACAGGATTGTACCATAGGATTGTACCAAAACCCAAGACTTCTCACATGGATCAGAAAATTTGTATACAATAATTAAACATGTTTATTGATAAAGTAAGTTTTAACTAGCTGCATCATTCCACTTGCTCATTGGCTTGAGTTAGTGTAAAATTGTAGCCATATGTACATGTATGTTTTGACACTAGGTAATTGAAAGAAAGTTCTATTCAAGAGACAATTCACCTGTAAAACAAACCGTTATGCTGCAATAATGCAAGCCAAAAATTTATCTATCAGCCCCCTGCCAGGAGTTGAACCTAAGACAACTTAACATGTGCTGAACCTAAACTCACTGTCTGTGTTCATTTTCAGACACTGTTACTTCAAGATAATGCTTGTTTTGATAACTGGAAAGAAGGTGCAAGCAAAAGAAAGTGTTTTTAATCTTAAGGTGAAATACATTATGTGCAGTATTATTAAATTATATCCAAATTAATTCCAATATCGCCCCAAGTACTCTCTCACTCCCAAAAGCTCTTGGCTATTACAACTATTGAACTCTAAAACAAAAATTCAGTCAAAATTTTATTACAAACTTGTATATGTACAAAACACACACACATGCATGTGCAATATTTAACAATATCAGTTCAAATAACTGCTTATATGGTATGTATTTGCTTAAAATATTACATCTTAGTCAAAACATATATTATTTTATACTTAACTTGACAACATAGCCATAAGCAGCATGGGAAAGCATGCCCACAGTAAGTTTAAATATGTACATAAATATGAAAAATAAATAAACATTCAACTTCTTTCCACCAAACAGAAATAACCACAGCATGTATGTATATCACTACTGACAGTACTGCCAAACTCCAGCCGAAATTAAACCTGTAATTTCAATGCAAAACTTTGACTGTTATCCATTTTAGTTATGGTCTTAATGCCTATGGTTGAGTGTAGTTGACAATTGGTTAGACCTTAAAGTTATTGGTATGTACTCTTTTAGTAATATTCATCTCTGTGCATTTTGAGCACTTACCTTCCATACGTGAAATTTTACCAATTTGAAATATGTCACTATATGTCAATGAAATTTAAAGTGATAATATTTGCTCATAAATATTTTCATTTTAATGATAAACTGTGCTAATAAACTGCATTAGCTACAGCTGTGTCGTGTATTAAACTATCAATGTTAACTTAATACAATATACAAAGTTGGTTTATAACTATAAAACTTTATAAATTTGAAAACCATGCCCAAAGAAGCATGATCTGGAACATCAGTAATGAACTACCACTTAGAACAGCGACAGATTTTGGTTTGGATGTGGCTGCAGTGTCATCGTCTAGTGGAAATGATAAAACAAAATATATAACTAAGTCTGATACAACCATAGTCAAAGTGGATTAAATATACTGAATAGCATAATGAAACTAAAATGAAAGGAACTAAAATGAATTTAAGGATATGTGTCATGACTATGTCATCTGATTTGAGAAAACATCATCATCATCATGATTACAATTGTGCTAATTTTTTTATATATACCTACCCTGTGCAGAAGTGGGTGGTTCTGGTATATTGGTGGATGATGGTTGTTCTTTAGTAGAGATTTGACCTACAAGTCCCATAGAGGCCAGTTGTTAGTATTCAGTTAGACTGTTAGATCATAGCTATTTATATAGACCTATTGACTGGGATAAACACAGCTAAGAAATCACATATTCATGCATGGAAACATATTTTGTAAGTAAAGGCAGGTGGGATGGAGAGTGTATCTTGTGTCAAACTTGTGAATGGAAACAATATTTGGTTCTGTTTTGATTTTATTTTTTATCTCTACTCAAATTGTACCAACCTTCATCTTCTGCTTTAACTGTAAAATTCCAGACTTCACTGGTAAAACAAGCAGATGATTTTATCAGAGTGAGATAGACATTACAGGGTTGATACTTTTCACCATTTGTTACAATTATCCAGTACCGAGATGACTGTCCACCCATAAATTCACAATTTGTGTTGCTGGAATTTACTAAATCTATATGACAGATCTCTTTTGTCGTTCCATTGCATTCTCCGGTCACTTTCAGACTTCCAAAATACTTGGGCAAGTTGTCAGATGGGGTGGAAAGTTCTAAGAACAATTTCCCTTTCTTCACTGATTTTTTGCAGTTGTTAACGGTGCAGGAATCTACAATTGTTGTCAAAAAGTGATGTGGTTAGTTACCAGTATGTCTGGCTTATTTATTGGAGGAAATATACTGTACATGAAATAGTTTCAGCAACTCTTTACAAAAGCATGGTTTCAATGTTTCATATGTCAATTACCTGTCATATAAATGTGGTATTCATTCCTGACTATATTGTTTGCATAGCATGTATAATATCCCTCCATAGATGAGTTCATGTTTGACACCATCAGAGTATAACTGTCATTGTTCAGGTTGTATTGCTCTTGATACGGTAGAAACCGATAGGTTGCATCCGCTTTGAAAGTTAGTTCAGCAATGGTTTTCCTCGGTGAACTTGCCTTGTCTTGGCCTGTCCAACGTAATGCTTTTAACGTCTTGTTACTCTCTACATCACAGGAGAGCTTGATATTTCCTCCTCGTTTAACACCTGCAGTATATAGACCCACGTCACCCACTTCTGTGTCTTCTCCAGCTGTAAAAGATAATTGCGTAAATCAGTAAATGTAAGTTCAGCCAAAGAGGTTAAAAAGCCTAAAATCAAAGAAAACAAAAAGGAAAATTAATAAATGGCACTTAAATTTAATGACATGTACCTGCTGGCTTTGCCAGGACTAGGAGAATTCCAACATTAAAAAGTAATTGGATTTTTTGCATCTATATCAAAGAGAATATTTTTACTCTAAAATCGCTAAATGTTTATTCAGTGATACTGGTTAAACTCAGCTATGTATATATATTGGCGATTGCATCATGAAATGCAATGCGTTTATATATTAATTATTAATGACCGGGGAATTTCCGAAACTTTTTATTCTGAATTTTAAATGTTCATAAAACTCATTATTAATAGAATAGAGTGTTAAAAAAATAAAGTTTTCCCGTAAAATTATAGCAGGTTGTACAGAAAGTTTCATTATTACACTAGAGGGTTAATAGACGTTTAAACAGAAAAAAATCCCATATACTTTAGATGAAATTTGAACTTTGATCAGTCTTAAGGAGTTACGCTAAATTATCATAATTAAGCTACTTCGTTCCCGCGAACTGTACCTGTTTAACACTGATTAGAATACTCTAATATTCGTAATTACGATTTGAAATTCTAAAAGCAGATTAGTGTGTCTTTGCCCGCTTTTTGACAGCATTTAGTTCGATCTGTGGTTCGATTAACGACATAACGTGGCGCTCTGATAACCTGGCCAATGTTATGGATATCGATCATTTTACTACGTAATTATGCACCTTATGCTGGTGTTTCAGTAAACAATTTATATATTTTTTATGTATTAACAAACTGATATTCTTACCTTTAGATAAGCCTAGTAAACAAATGTTGTCTTGTATCAATATTTTTACTTCCAACTTCGCTGTTTATATACAACACACGGTCACAACAGTACCGCAAAGTGTTTTATATTATGTATTTATGTCAACACAGAATATCCGCCCTTTATAAGTCTTTATATCCGGTTTTTGAATCATGTGAGGCTGACTAAGCACATTTTTGAAATTCCAATAATTTCCGGAATTTTTGACGTGATTTTTTGTAGTCTTATTATTATAATTATTCATGATTTTATAAAGAATGAACTTTTCATGAACTTTTGGTTGGGTACTTGGGTGCTTGTGTACTCGAACCGACCTGACCGCGTAGCTCAGTTGGCAGAGCATTGGGCTAGTATTCCAAAGGTCGTAGGTTCGATTCCCACCGTGGCCAGGCATATTTTTCAAGACCCCTTTCAAGCCTGCCCGATGTGGATATACACTCAGAGTAACATCAGAAGCATCTTATTCACCTGAGTACATTACACCAACACAGAAAATATCATGTGTGCTACTTGTTGCCTTAATTAAGGTTAAATCATGTATGATTACTTTAAATAGGAGCACATAAAATTTGTAAATTGAATATGGCAAAGGAGAACCAAAGAAAAAATACATGGTCATAGAGTATAGACGTCAGCTTGAAAAAAGTGCTGAATTGCAATAATTTATACCAGCGAATTATTTAATGCTAGCAATTAAGTTGGCGCACACAACCAGGGTTGCCAGGTCTCAGGGCATGCTCGGAGCCAAACACTGTATAAAATGAGTCCAAATTTTACCAAAAGAGGCCAAACTACTAATTTTTCAAAAAGCCTAAATGCAACCTCGGCCCAGGGCCTTCCTCGCCCTAATGAGGAAGGCCCTGGGGACGAGGTTGGTTAAAATGAAAGTATGAAACGAAATTGAGCTTTAGCCAGTTACGTAGGATTTCTGTGTTCATATCCCCCTGCAGGCTAAACAAAATTATTAATTGAAATTACCGAATCAAAATTGTGGAAAGTCAAGAAATGAGGGCTAGAAAGAGATAACACACACTCTTGTTTTTTTTGTTGATTATATGAATATGTAATTTGTAGAATAAAAAAAAAACTACTGAATTATTAACACACATTTGCAAGTTTATAAAATGTATTGTTTGGAGACTTAAGTTAAACACATGCAATACAAATCATTGTCCTATTGACCAGGTTTATGCAAGAACTTTGTCCTTTTTCGCCACGTGTGTTCATTCAATAGGAATGTTGCAGAATACGTGTTCATGATTTGGTAAACATACAATAGATCGCGTTTTAGACAAATCTTATTAAAAATGTCTTCTACTTTCAATCTTAATGTCACTCTAAAAAGCTGTACAAGTGTCAAGTCAAGTCAACTCAACGTTCAACTGTTTTCTCCTTGTGAATCATACAACTGTTTGGCTGTAAACAGCTCGAGCATTCGCCTGGTGGTCTTGAAGTCCACGCAGCAATTCTCTCCAAACTGAAGCTTTGAACGAATACGAATTATCGCGTTCATCAACTCTAGTTTCATCCTGTTGCATTGCTTGGTCTTGATTGCTGCTAACAAGGAAAATGACCTTTCCACTACAGCATTGCTTACGGGAGTAGTGAGGCAATTCAAGGCGTATGTTGCTAATTCCTTGAATGGCTTGTCTCCAAGTGAAGTTTGAACGTCGGCGACACGAGACCAAAACGCAACCGTTGTATCTGGTATGGTGCCATCAAAGCTAGAATCTTCTTTCCAGTCACGGTGCACGATCTTTCGGTATTGCTCTTCGATCTCATTGACTTTCTCAAATCGTAGGTGAGGAAGGGGCAGCTGACTCACAGGGACTCTTGTTGCTACATTCAACACTTTTCGTGGATGAAGGGCGCTTAAACCTTTGAATACGTTGCTGGTGGCAGGTAGACGCTTTTCGACTTGTGTAATGGCTTCCAAAAGAAAATCTAGGCATCGTGTCTTCACTTCAAGAACTTTAGCTTGAGCAACAGCTTTGTCCTGTTGAGAAGAGATAAATTTCGTTGCTTCAAACAGGAACTTCCCACCAAAATCAACATTTTCAATGGCGAGTTGCTCTCCTTCTTGGTTGAAAACCCTTCCACGCAAAGACAAGTGGTGTGTATTCAATTCAGTGAACATCTCTTCGGGATCGGCATCGGTAGCTTGGAAAAATGCATTGACTCGTTCGAATTCAGAGACTAGAGGCGACACAAACTGGAAAAATAAATAAAGAATGGGATCCTTGAGCATGTCAAGAAGCATACGTGCCTTGTAACGGGCATTCTGTTTACTTGCTGGTTGGGCTACGGTAAAATAAGCCTGCAACTCGTTCCAATTGGTCAGAACACGGAAGATCAACTTTCCTCGCACCAACCACCGTGTTGCGGAATACTTCTCGAACGGCGGTAGTTGGTCGTCATCCGGGCTCATGACTTCATACAGCGATTTGTACGCTTCTCTTCGTATAGTGCTTTTAGAAAACCACTTCGGAATTTCTGCAAGAAGGAATCCGAGACTGGATGGAAGCTTTTCAAAGGCATGTTGGACGCACAACGCTAACGAATGGCAGATACACGTCAATTTGATGCAGTTTGGGGCAACGGCTGCAATTTTAGTCCACACTGAGTTGTGTTCGCCGACCATCACGGAAGCACCATCACTAGCGTACCCAATGCAGTCCACCAACTCAAGATTAATCCCACGAAGGCAATCCCTGATGGCGTTGAAAAGATCATCTGCACATGCATGGACAACTGTGACGAGGTCCACAAAGGCTGTGACGATTTTCTTTTCGACATTGCTGTAATACCGAATGATCACACAAAGCTGTTTGGCTGTGGAAACGTCGGTAGTCTCATCGACGATTAAAGAAAACTTCTTTCCACTCACATCGGCAATTAATTCTTCTTTCAGCGCGGGACTTACTATATTAGTAAGAATTTTTGTGCATTTCGTACGATGTATCTTAATGTTCGCAAGTCTACTTCCTGTCGCATTAGGAGCGATAATCTCCCCGAGATGATCCATGGTTAGAATTGAAGAATGGCACGCCATTGTCACAGCTAGCTCGATTTCTGCAGTTTTCACTTCCTCGGCGATCGTTGGGTTCCGCACGACTTGAATTGGCCTGACCGACCTTGAAGCTTTGACGCGCAGCAAATGCTTTTCACTCTTCTCGTGCTTCGTTAAATTGGATTGTTTGGGTTTCATTGCCGTATGGTCAGTGAGCTCCATATATATCTGGAGCAGGAACTTGGTTGCTCAAAGTGAAGCCAGTTTCGTGTTAACCGCGCATACAAAAACAATAGAAAGGGACTGGAACTGACGTCCAAGAGCTCCTTCAATTTCCGCCATCTTGGCAAGGAGTGTGTTGAAATTTCGTATTTTGACTTCGATTTAAAGAATAATATTGTGATTTTATGAACTGAAAACTTGATTAGTGATACGGTCCATTAGAAAAAACTGGAATTAGCTGGGGAAAATGGTAGAAAAACTGTTTCCGACCTTCAGAGCTATTGGACGTCAATGGCCGCCATCTTGGCTTCACTTTTCTCATTGACTGAATGACTGAAGTTCTTACTCCAGATATATATAGAGCTCACTGCGTATGACACAGCTTACAAAACCCATCCTCACTTCCATCCGATGCTTTCGATAGCCAGCTAAACTTACTTTCCCATGTTTTATTATACTTTCTTCCACCGTCATATGACGCTTTCCATTTGGAGGCCATATGTGTACATATATATATATATATATATATATATAAATATTCGTGAGGCGGACGCCTGCGAAAACAGTACCAATTAAGCTTGATCCTATATATTATGATTGGCTATTTTTATACACTTACAATTGGCTGAATTTTGTGAACTGTGATTGGACGAAACAAGCAGCTAAGTTATCCGCATAATGTAGGATGGTTGCTCCGAGAAGTGATACACAAAATTTTGTTTCGTTTTGGCCTGTTTCTCATGATTAATTTAGTATTACACGTGAAATTAAAAATAGCTCTTGAAAATAAAAAGAGGCCAAAAAGAAGCCAAATGGCCAAATTTATTTTTCGAGGCCAAGCAAGAAAAAAAGAAGCCAAATTCGAGTTATTTGGCCTCCAAGAGGCCAATCTGGCAACCCTGCGCACAACAACTGATAATCACCTAGCCTGCGAACAGGTGTTTATTCATGGGACCCACCCGAATAGACGCCTGTTCGCAGGCTAATAATCACCTGACTGATAATGGCCGTGCGTGCGATCTTTGCCACAGGCACTGACAGAACCCCAGGTTATATAGTTGTGATAATTTTATATTTTTAGCCTGCATAGCATTGAGCCGCCTGCTCTAGTCTTGGGGTTACTATTAAAACAGTCTGCTCCCGGGCCAATACTGCAGTTAAACAATTACAAATAAGACAAGGAATATCCTATGAGCAGTCTAATACTAGTAACAACTTAAATATATTTTATTGAATGATATTAATGAAGAGTTAATTAAGTGCAGCAGTTGACCTATATACAGGCTATAGAGTTAGAAAGAAAAAAAACATTTTCACTATTCAGTTATCTACCGTAGTATTTATTGAATATCAATATAGGAAAATGAAACTAAAATGAAAGAAACTATAAAAACAACAGATTTTCATTATTCAGTTATCTACATATAGACAAGTATTTATTGATTCGTTTAATTTCACAGTTGTGCTTGGAAGAAAAGAAAAACTACTATACTATATGGCGTGAAGGTTATTTGATTTATGCCAAAAACAGGTTTTTAAGAATTTGGAGCCATAAATAATATCTGATTTCTTACCATTTTTACCGTAGTAACTAATATCCGGGCAAGGCTGTACAACAATCCAAAATCCCAGGACAAAACAAAGATTTCATTTTTTGTATACTTCTAGGCAAGTATATAATTAACCCCGATTGTATCGAAGCGCATCTTTAATTAAGCTAATGTAATTTCATTAATTAATTAATTAATTAATAATTAATTAAATTCAACTCCATAGCTATATGGGCAGTATTTTCTCGTTTAAAATTTAAAAAAGTATCTGTAGTGTATACGCGTCTATGCTAGATTCGTTGTTGTTTTTTATTCGCTGATTTCTGTGTCTCGTGTCAGCGACTCAGCGTGGATTTTCACTGGAATTATTAAAACGCACTCAGCTCAATATTGCCGTCATTGGTATGATTACGATCTTGCGTAGACGGTGTAGTTCTACTGCTGTCTTACGTATCTAAGTTTCCAGAGTTACGCAGTCTACGACAATACCTGAACAAATAACATACCCCTCCTACCACCACAAAAATTGCAGCAAAGGTGATTAGAACTATACAAACAATATGCAGAGTAGGTTTGCAATCACCATTCGTTTGTTCACACGTCTCATTACACTTACGCGGTGTAGGTTGATTGTTGGTATTTATTGATGGTTGTTGTGTGTATTTGCTTTCTACCCTGCTGGTCAATGATAACGTATTGGTTGGTTTCGTTGGTTTTAATGATTGTTCGGTGTTTTTTTTGCCTGGATTGAGGGTTATCGTTGAAACTGTGTTTGACTTTGGAGGAGGATTCGTTATTAGGTGTGAGTAGTATTCTCTTCAATTGATGGTGCTAATATATTTGGGAAATGAAATAATATCAAATACATTGTGACTACAAAATAAAGAATGTGAAACAACATGAATAATTAATGAGCCCAAATAAAATTTGAAAGGTTACGTCACATGACTATCCTTAGAAATGAATGTGCTGATAGTAATTTCAAGAGTATTATACTGGACCGTGCACCATGCATTTACCTTGCGTAAGTAAAAACGTTTGGGTTTGACTGTTTACTTCATCACCATTCTCCTGTTTAAAATCGAAGGGATCGATTGGTGGAAATTTAACGTAATACTTCAAACCAATGGCAATGTTTCTTGAAGTTTGGTTGAACATTGTAGCTTCACAGGCTCCAAGTTTTGAAACAATGGTTGCATTTGCAAGATTTGTGCATTGACCATCATCTGTTTTTTTAAAATATAACGCAATTTTACTATCAATCTTAGCTTCACAGTTAACATCACGCTTCGTTGATAAATGGAAAATGATATTCCATTCTTTCTGTATTACAGCGTCAATGATCTTCTCTTTATATGTACTGCTGACATCAGTCACAATAGCAGCTGCGTATGGAATCTGACTCAGAGCGTGCAAAACTCGTGCGTAAGAAAAGAAAATATGACTCATAAACGTGCTTTTAAATTTGAATGAAATTTATTAGGGGAAAAATTCTTATTTTGTCCATATACCTTTTGCTTTAACTCTGGTTGACTGAATGAAAATCCGCCCTTGTTTGTCATATGGCATCCTCGCAAGCAAGGAAGAGATTATTTCGCTGACCTGAGAGTGACTAAACGTAACAAGGCAACGGTGTTACTAACACAAACTCTAACCTAACCCCTACTCCAAATTTGTTTCTAAACCAATTTTGAAGAAAAACGTTTTAACGAAATGTCATTTTGATAGTGGCCAAATTTGAATTGTTTAATTTTCCCGCGCGATGAGCCGATGACTACTTGAAACCAGCATTCCTCGCGGGCATCAAGCCTTGTGACGTCATTATGCAAAAGTATATTGATGTTCCAGTGATGTTGTCATTGTGACAAATACATTTATTGGAATTATTTTGCATCATTTGCTCTTTCCTGCATACATGTACGTATGTGGAGTTAACCATCATATGTGCATCATAATATGAAACTCGCAATTAATCCACTAAAGTGCATAACATGTTATGTTAAGTTCCAACTGTGTAATATAAACCTGGATCCCATTTAATATATCTCTTGACAGGATTGTACCACAGGATTGTTCCAAAACCCAAGACTTCTCACATGGATCAGAAAATTTGCAAAAACTTAACATGTTTATTGATAAAGTAAGTTTTAACTAGCTGCATCATTCCACTTGCTCATTGGCTTCAGTAGCGTATCCAGTCCGACGATTTAGTCCCGCTATGCAAATATTCTCGTGTTCATTGACTGTGAAAACAATCAATTTCTAAAGAAATGAATAATGATAATAATTTTGAATTTGCATAGCGGGACTAAATTATCGGGCTGGCTACGCCACTGATTGGCTTGAATGAGGCTCAGTAAAATTGTAGCCATGCATACATACATGTATGTTTTCACACTAGGTAATTGAAAGAAGGTTCTATTCAAGAGACGATTCACAGGTAAAGCAAACCATTAGCTCCTTCAGAATAACGCTACATCATCTCCGTCTCTTGTGTAGCGTTATTTGTCGTCTCTTGTGCAGCGTTATTCTGAAGAAGGGGCTTGTCCCCGAAACGTAAAAATTAGTTTATTACATTGAAGTAATTAATATATTAATTTTATATTATTATTTTTTATTATTATTATATATTAATTTTTTATTATTTTAAAGTTATATATATATATATATATATATATATATATATATATATATATATATATATATATATATATATATTCATATACGAGCTAATTTTGAACTATACGAGCTAATACGAACTATACGAGCTAATTATGAACTATATACTGAATGTCATAAACATACTCGTTTATACTAATTCAGCATCGAACAATACTAGTTCTGAAAATGTTATGTTATGTTGTGTTATTGTTCACTCGGTTCACTCCCGAGTTGAGTATTTCATAATTTCCAGACCGCGCGCACGCAGAAAGATATTGCCATTACACCCGTTTTCAAAATTACGCGACCTCCCTGAAAAATACTCCTGCTTCAAATGTCAGTTTTATGTCACAAGAACTGCTAAAAATAGCAAACGTAAACAAACTGTCTAAAGACATTTTAAACCGTATTTAATACCAAAACTGAACAAAAATGAGTCAGATAACTTAGATATACAAACTAAAGCACAATACAAACCATCACAACAGAAATATGTGCCGTGAATGACTTTTAAAGTTTGAAAAATAACAATTTATCCTGGAATTTAGCTGTCAGTAAAAACACGCGCGCTAGACTATAATGGTGATGTTATGATTTTGTTGTGCTTAAATTTTACAATAATTCTCACTAAAATATCTTGAAAATCATTGTAAGTCTGTTTATATGAAGCATACAAAGCATATACATCGACAAGGAACCGCGAAACTCAAAGTTTCAACTTCGTGATCGAATGACATAAAACTGACATGTCAACTCTAGCATTTTCGTCCTTGGTCGCGTAATTTTGAAAACGGGTGTAAGTAAGATATGCCATGCTAATATTTCATTGCTACACATCGCAACATCGTGAAATCCATAAAAATGTAAAAACAACAATGGGTGCGTGTGTATTTTCCTATGTTCACACAAAACGAGGTAGCAAAATAATGACGCCAAGTTTTAGGTATGTTCACACTAAGCCGTTATATATTTAAAAAATACTAAAGTGAAGCCAAATAGAGATGGTATCACTGTTCACACGAAGCCGCCAAGCGCTGCGTTTTCTTCTCGTTCCGTTTAGAAACCATGGGTCTTCAAAACAATTTCACTCCGGCGTATAGAGTGAATGCGACAGCCAATTGTGACTTTTCTTCGCCGTTTTTTTTTCAAACCGCTCCGTGAACATATAAGGCCCGTTTATACTTGCAATTTTTGCTGTGATTTCTCGTGCGATTTTCTTCTTTTGATGGATGTGAACGATTAAAAAATTATGAATTCTCTGAGTATGCGTACCCCAGTCACCCACTCGTTCACATACATCAGGAGGAGAAAATCGCAGCAAAAATTGCAAGTGTAGTAAACGGGCCTATAGTCCAAATAACTTCAAATACAAGATGCATGGTTTGACTTTGAATTTCAAATTTCCGTGAGTAATAACATTTTATAGTTATATAGGTATAAATACAAGTACACCCATTAAAAAGACGTTAAAATTAAATGAGATTACACAAACTGAGATTTGAATCGACCGACAATACTGGGAACACGTTGGCAACTAATTTTGCATCCCCCATGAAATATTTCGCTAATGTCCTTACGCTACTAATGGATGAACAAATGATAAAAGCCGAACAAAAGCATAACAAACTGTCTCATGTTATAAACTATAATTTGATAGTTAAACTATCAAGCATAATAGCGATAATTAAAAATCATGAACAGAAACACAAAAGTGGTGACACGATGTCGTGACAAATTTAATTGTGCACACAAAACAGGAAAGGCCACTCTCATATCTCAATTTAACGAATAATTTAGAGGACAATTATAGCGTAAGAGCGATAATAATTGGCCCATCATAATGAGTGGAAAATATCTTTATGTATGGAGTGACCAGGCGTGGCAAATTGTGACAATCGAAATGTCCAGAAAATGACAATCGAAATTTCCAGATAATAATTGTGATAATCGGAATTCGAACTGTCCAGAAAACGAAAACAAAGTCAAAACTATTGAATGCGCGGCCAAATTGTCTAATACACCCTTCCGGAAAGTACATAATTTTGGCTGGAGAGTCTCGTGTATTCACATACATGTATTCATTGGTTTTAAACCAAGCATCTCAATCACGGAAACGAGGTTCTGTAACCAAAGAGACATGCTATTCGGCAACCTCGTTAAGATCCTGGGTACGAATTGGCTATTCGGAAGGGTCTTGCAATTACGTGTTTTCGCCAGCCCGCGACAAGGGACTCTTTAACTTTTTTGAGTGGTCGCAGCAGTCAACAACGGCGGTCGAGGGGCCGTAAAATATACTGCTTTCCCAAGGTCTCAGTAAATAAGTGTTTTGTGATATAGTATATAAGAGGGTCCTGAAGGGGGGGTCCCAATCCCATTTCCCACCTGAAATTTTGGCAAAATCCCAGTCCCAGTTGGATTTTTATTAGAAATCCCTGTCCCAGTTATTGAAATCCCAGTCAATAAAAAACCCTTTATTTATCGGTAGAATAAACAGTTTTAAGACCTTTTAAGCAAGTGGCGGACATTTTATGAAATATTAGGGGGTACTCGTGCCGAAGGCACAGAAAATTTTAAAATTTGAATCCCGGAAATGGCATTTGCAGCATTCTGAGACATGCATAATCAGAAAACCCCGCAGAATTCCGGGCGCCAGAGTATGCCTGTTCGCAGGTGGTGCTGTGAATAATATAGTTAACAACAAAAATCATGACCAAAGACACCAAAAACGGATCAAAATTGTATTTTAAAATACTCAAAACGCAAAAGAATTGGGAATCGACTCGCATTACCTCAATCCCATTCCCATTTTTGAGGACTTCATTTCCCATTCCCAGTGGCCAAAACCAAGTCCCAGCAACCCAAATCCCATTTTCCCAGTCTAAAAATAGATCAATCCCAGTTCCCATTTTACCCCTTCAGGGCCGTCATGGTTGACGCGCATGCGCACTGCACCCATTCTAATGTCGACCGGTCAATAAATGTTCTGTATGGACTGGTCGCCTCGTTGCCAGGGCAATGCAGTAAATACGACGTTTTGCGGACCGGCACGTAATACGCTTTTGTCCAATCGGAAAACAGAAAAATTGAACTTTGACACTAACTATATAACAAAATTATTTGTAGTGACTTTCTTTACTGTAAATAGCAGTATAGTCATCAAAATGTAACAAACAAAACTAGTCTGATTGGCTGTAAACTCCTGTACATCATCTCTGATTGGCTACAAGCTATTAATATACACACACGAACTTCCCACACAATGACATGTTTTGGACAATATTTAAGAATACACAGTCACAGCATTGAAATCGGATAAAAATCTTAGTAAATCAATAGAAGTATTAATAATACTTATGTCACAATATTTTCAATGTCTTGCTGAGTTATATTAAATGCATACGTTATGTTACAGTATCCGACATAGAAAAAATGCTGAAGATAGTCTACTGTCCTGACGAGGCTTTCCCTTGTAATATCATATAAATGTTATATGTAAATGTGCTAAAATCTGATAGCAAACTTGTGTAGATGATAAAACTACTAAAAAATATTAAAATAACTTTTCCACCAAAGACCCTTTCAAAGGCAGGAAAAAAGAATTTTCTTTCTGGAGGCAAAAATTTCCTGCAGACCAACGGAATATTTTTGTGCTAGATCTGTATGATTGTGCATAAACATATAGTGTTCTAGCTGACCATAGTTTTAAATTCAAGCAATAATGTCTGTCAACCATATGTTGTTACGCCCATAGTGGGACATGGGTGTTAAAGTTTCCTTCAAATTTTCAATACCAAATCTTTATTCAAACAAATCTTCTGCAGCTGTTTAACATTTCCTGCGAGCAGTGTTCGCGTGCTCACCTATATTTTTTCCACCCTGCTAAGGGCCTGCCAATTTCCAGACAAAGGCCTTCGCTCGAAACATCGAAGTTATTTTTATATTTTTCAGGTAGAACTTTCCATCATTACACAAGTTCTCAGTTTGTATTCTCTGCTATCTAGATTGGCACCCAACGTTCAACACCCATTTCAACTTTCAAGACCATGGCCCTATACTCAGAACCAGCTGTTTGATTATTTACTGTTGTATATACATTATATTCAGTTCCCAAGCACTTCGATATTCTTGCATTTACTCCATATCAATTCAAATTTTGGAGAATCATATGTCAAATTCTTTCACTTTGAATTTTGTAAGAACACACCACCCATCATATTATTTGAATTCCCATTTATATTTTAGTACTTATCTTACGCTCAGTGTTATTTGGAAGCCATGTGTCTCATTAGGATATTGTTGAGTTTCTCTAGTCTTTTTAAATCTTGCTGTTGTTCTGTTCTGTATTTTAAACACTAGAAAAAAAACTCAGTTTTAGTACTGTTACAAATATTGTATATACTAGGGTTCACCACATCGGGGAGTAGGGCATGTTTTTAAGCAGGTAAGCAACAAACCTCTAGGGGGG